AGTTCTGTAGCTCTTCAGGTATTCGACACAAATTAGATGCTGTGGTACTTTCAGTCCTTAGATGTAACTTTCTGAGTACTTCTGTGTAGCATAAAAACAACACATAATCCTCCTTAAACAATTTTATGAAGGTCACAAACGTTTTACTCATTTCCAGATGTAAATGTTTCCAGCCCCTTTACCAATTGGCATTGCTGTGATAATATTTTCATTTTATACAATGGCAGACATATTTTTCAATAGTGAACTCTAGTGACCTATGCTTTTTTGTTAAGATGATTTTGAGCAAATTTATATTACAGACCAAATACATTTATTTATGAGGATATGGCAGTGAAAAAAAACTAAGGAAAGACTAAATTGTTGGTAAGAAAAGTTCTGACTCTGTAACCCCAGTAATGAAATTAATTCTGTACAACAAGCCTGGGCTAGTGAAAACAATAACCATCATATTTGTAGTCCTAGCATCTGGAACACTGCCTGGCATTGAGTAGATGTGTGGTGAATTAAACTCAAATGAAGCAGCTTTAGTGACTTGTTATAACAGGAAATGTTCTTTATTAAAAGTGCATTCTTCATAGATTGATAACTAACTTTTAATTAATGCTTTGGACTAGTCTGGGTTTTTGTAAGTCCTTAACTTCTGTTTTCTTATATTTTCTCAGTTATTCTTTATAGCAACTCTCCAAGATAAGGTGGTGGTGTTAACCTTTTTCTCTTTGTAACTTATGAGAAAACAGAAGTTATGATAAGTTGAACAAGTTAAAGTCATAGAGCTAGTAAATGGTGGTGCCAAGTTGTTAGTCCAGATCTGTTGAACTATTTTAAAAGCCATGTTTGAAACTCCTCACTGCACTATACTGATTTCACAGTTTATCTTCCTGTTACAGAGAAGTCACTGATGCATTTGAGTCTAGGTAGTTTATTAGGGAGCTTGGACTCTCTGATAGGACATGGCTGGAGCCTGGCTGGCAGAACTCTGTCTGGCGCCCTGAAGGCCATAATTATACATGGAGTGACCATCAGTCCTGCTTTGCTTGGGACTAAGGGGTTTGCTGGGATTTAGGACTTTTAGTGTTAAAACCAGGAAAATCCTGACCAAACCTGGAAAATTAGTAAACCTGTATATCTCACTTTAATCTTATTAGTTTAATCTCTGAGCCAGAGTGAATATGTAGAGAAGCTAAAGGTCACCAAATAAAAAAAGAAAATAGCTTAATGAAAAAAGAGTGTATTAATTTTTTTATGCTGCCCACTGAAAAGTAGCACAGTAAAGTTAGGCTTATTTTGATTGGCCACTTGATAGAAAATATATTACAGTACATAAACAGCGTCCTCTAAAGTTCTTAATATATTTACTTGAAAAAATTATGGTAGATCTTGAAATACACATATTTCTTTTGGTAGCTGCAGAAAAGAATTTTAAGTGTGATGTAAATATATATTTCATTTAAAAACTCTTAAAATTATGCACCTTGGCCTGACTTTACTGTGATAAAATACACATGGCAGCTGTCCTTAAGATCTAGACTCTAAAACAAGCATAAGAGCAGATGTGTCATGTCAGCATATTTAGTATATAGGATACAATATACAGGTATTGTCACATACAAAATCAGATCTTTTTTTAAACCCTGGTATTAACCTTTCCTGAATGCTCTTTTCTTTTCTTTCTTTCTTTCTTTCCTTTTTTTTTATTTTTTAGATTTTTATTTATTTTTAGAGGGAGGGAGAAAAAAGGGAGAGAAATATCGATGTGAGAGAGAAACATTGATCAGTTGCCTCTCCTACATGCCCCGACCAGGGACGGAACCGGCAACCTTTCCCTTTGCAGGATGACACACAACAAACTGAGCCACTCTGGTCAGGGCCAAAGTAAGATCTTCATCAACAAAATAATGGACAAGTTATAAGAACTGTCTTACATGCACATAGGGTTCTTGTTCTTTGTTTCTAGTTGACAAAAAGCTTTCACTTTATATGAAAAGCATGTGATTAGATTCAGTAACTTTATTTTACAAAGATTAAGTGACTTCTTTGAGCTGATAATTTCTAAGTAGTAAAATTTCCTTATCTGTGAAATGTAAGTGCATCACTCTTTCCCTGTACCTTAAGATCTAATTTGTTATAACAACCTGGCATAATAACATTTTTAAAGTTATGTACATGAACTATGTAAGAATATACAGAATACAAAATTCAATACCAGAAGAACACTTTTAAATTTGTACCATTTAAAGTTATTTTTCAACCTAGGCAGGCTTATTAAATAAACTGCTAATAGACCATTAAAAAATAGACTTCATTATGTTTTAGATTTCTAATTAAGCTAACTTCCAATAGTATGTTTAAGAACAAGCGAAAACTAAAGCTATAAAACTTTGTGACTTGGACTAGGCAATGATTTCTGAGGACACAAAGCAATAACCATTAAAACACAAGCCCTAGGTGGTGTGGCTCAGTGGACTGAGCACCAGCCTGTGACCGAAAGGGTCGCTGGTTCTATTCCCAGTCAGGGCACATCCCTGAGTTGCAGGCCAGGTCCCCAGTATGGGATGCTCAAGAGGCAACCACACATTGATGTTTCTCTCCCTCTCTTTGTCCCTCCCTTTCCCTCTTTAAAAAAATAAATAAATAAAATTTAAAAATTGGGGGGAAGACAGTAACCATAAAAAAACAAAATGATAGATTTTTATCAAATTCTTTAAATAAATAAATACAAATAAAAGCATCTATCATGAAAAAAAAAAAACTAAGAAAATTAACAGGTAGTTCTGACCAGTGTGACTCACAGTTCCTTGGCCATCATTTTACCAATAAAAGGTTTGCTAGTTCGATTCCCAGTCAGGACATATGCCTAGATATTTCTCTCTCTCTCCTTCTTCCCTTCCTCTCTCTCTAAAAGCAAACAAATAAAATATTCAAATGAAAAGAAAAAAGAAAATGAACAGGTAAACCACAGATTGGGAGAAAATATCTGCAAAATATATATGTGACAAGGACTTGTATCCAATCTGTCTTAAAGAATACCTGCAAATTAATGTTAAAAAGACAACTTAATTAAATAATGGATGAAAGACTTGAACAGATACTTCACAAAGAAAGATATATAAATGACCAATAAGCACACATGGAAATGCAAATTAAGTCACATCCACTAGAATGTCTAACATTAAGACTGACAATATAAAATGTTAGTAAGCTCATGGAGCAACCAGTGCTGTCCTACATGGCTTATAGAAAAGTCTGAATGGGATACCTGCTTTGGCAAAACTGACTTGGCAGATTTTTAAAAACAGGTCTATTGAGATAGAATTTTCAAATAATAAAATACCAATTTTAAGTGTGCAGTTCAATGAGCTTTAGTAAATGGATACATTCATAAAACTGTCAGCACAATCAAGATATATAATATTTCCATCACCTTCATGCCCATTTGTATAATAAGTTTTTTCCCCCTTCCCACAGCTCGAGGCAACTACTGATCTTTCTGTCAGTGTAGTTTCGCCTTTTCTAGAATGTCATATAAATGAAATAAAGCATTATGTAGTGTTTTGTGTCTGGCATCTTTTACTTAGCAAAAAAAAAATTTTTAAGATTATTGATACTGCATTTAAAAATGGTCAAAAGATTCAAACATTTTATGAAACTAGATAAGTGAATGACCGATAAGCACACAAGAAGATATTCAGTGTCACTAATCATGAGAAAAATACCAATTAAAACCATAGTGAGATAATACTTTGCCCGCATCAGAACAGCTAAAATTAAATACTGACAATACAAATGTTGGCAACTTGAACTCAAATACATCGTTGGTGAGAATACAAAATAATACAGCTACTGAAAACAGATTGGCAGGGTTTTTTTAAGTTAAACCTACACTTACCATATTAATATTCATTCGCTCCAAGGTATTAAAAAATCAAGGATTTCACTGACATGATGTTGAATTTTAAGAGTACATATGTCCATTTTTATGAGTTCTACGATAAGCAAACCTAATTGTGTTTACTTTTGTATTGCTGCCATAACCGACTACCAAAAACCAAGAGGTTTAAACAAGACAAATTTACTATCTTACAGTTCTGTAGGTCAGAAGTATAAATCTTGGTCTCATCAAGATGCTGGCAAAGCTGCGTTCTTTTCTGTAGGCCCTCGGCAGGGTGTATTTCCTTGCCTTTTTCAGCTTCTAGAGGCTGTTGCATTCCTGGCAGTTGGTCCCCTTCCTCCATTTTCGAGCCAGCAGCGCATCACAATGACCTCTTCTGCCTCCCTCGTTAACTCTTAAGGACCCTTGTGACTACAGTGAGCCCATTCAGAGAATTCAAGATAATCTATTTTAAGGTCACCTGACTAGCAACTTTATTTCTATCTGCAACCCTAATTCTCCTTTGCCTATAAATGTAGTGTAACATTTATAGGTTCTAGGGATAAGGTCTTGGGCATCTTTAGGGACCATTATTCTACCTGCCATACTAACATAAGGTGAAAAAAATCAGCCATGGAGGTTGCCTCTTCAGAGCACACAACGGCAGGGTGAGGAAAAATGACTGGGATGGGATGGATATGAGGGAATTTTCTGGCAAAGTAGAAAGATCCTGTATCATGATAGAGGTGTATGTTACTACAAAGATATCTTTGTCAAAGCACACAGCTAAGGTGAGTGCATTTTAATGTATGTAAGAGTACTGTTAAAAATAAAAACAAATGAGAGGGGCATTGGGAACGGGTAGAGGAATAGATGAAACAAGAATGGCAGAAGGTTATTTTTGAAGCTGGTAGTGAGTACATTGGAGTTCATTGTACTGTTCTGTTTACTTTGTTTTAATTTGGAACTTTTCATATTCAAAAATGAAAAGAATGCTTACTTAATTCTTAATAGTTAAGCCCCTATATGCCATGAAAGTGTTTATTTATAAAATTGAATCTGATTTATTTTAAATGTTAATTTTAATATATCAAACTTTGTAGTAATAACTAATGTATCTTGTTGGCAGCCACGAAGAACTATTCTCAGGTCGCCCCTATGGAGCTCTTGATTCAGGTTTCAATAGTGTTGACAGTGGTGATAAGAGATGGTCAGGGAATGAAGTAAGTGTTACTCTCTTCTGCACATTGTAACTCCTGATTAAGAGGAAATAAGATGATGAAAAGTTTCTTAATTGGTCTCAACTCACCATTCCATAAAATACAGAAAAGCCAAGATAATGGTAAAAATTCCATATAGTCACACCACCCAAAAATGGTATTATTTTTTCTACTGTCTTTTTACCATGTGTGTTTTACATGTTTATTACCTCATTGTCTTGTATAAATAGTTTTATATCCTAAAAATATAAGCGGGAACCGAGTCAGTAGCAACTAATGGGTAATGAGGTGGGAACATTAGTGAAAATTTCCACATGCTCAAGATAAACAACTTTCCTAGCTAATTGTATCATATTTCTCTTTTATTTAGTTATTATGTTTTCTCTTTTTGAAAATTATAAGATACAGTATTTTAGCTATAGATTGGGTTAAATGATCAAATAAACTTCTTTAAAGCAAGACCTATCATTCATAACACTTTCACTGAAAGTCCAAAGCAAATTAATTTCAGACAACCACCAATTTGTAATTTGGAATTGCTTCTGTATTTATGTGTGGGTTGGTGTGTTCATAATTGTGGCTGTATCCGTGTAGGTACATATATGTAGGTACTTTCAGTTCATGTACATATGTATTCATATTTATAGAGTCATATATGATTTCTTTTTCTAAAATCATGATCAAGCACACGTAAAATTTATCATTTTAACTATTTTTAAGTGTCCATTTAGTGGCATCAGTTACATTCACATTGTTAAGAAATTGTCACCACTCTGCATATCCAGAACTTTTCTGCTATTTCTTAAGTATCAATTTTAATGAGTTTATATTACATCCATGCTTTTAAATACTTTGTTGTCTAAAATTTAGGATGATGTTTCTTAATGTTTCTCATATTTTTTTAAGCCTACAGATGAATTTTCAGACTTACCTCTTCGAGTAGCAGAAATTACTAAAGAACAAAGGCTACGAAGAGAAAACCAGTACCAAGAGAATCGCAGCAGTTTAGTAGTAACAAATGGTGGAGGTAAACATAGTTCCTGATTGACATCTGAAGTCCATATAATAACTCTAATTTTTTTTAAGTTTTTCTTTAACCCTCACCCAAGGATATGTTTGTTATTGATTTGAGAGAGAGAGAGAGGGAGACGGGGGGAGAGAGAGAGAAGGAAACGGTGATTTGAGAGAAAAACATCCATTGGTTGCCTCCTGTACGCATCCCCACTGGGAACCTAACCCACAACCTTTCTGGCGTACCGGACGGACGATGTTCCAACTGCTGGAGCCACCCGGCCAGGGCCCCTCTAACTCATTTAAGTGGTCTTTTCCACGCCAGGTCCTTCGGTTTGTATATCTGTAGTTTCTTCAGCTCTTGAAGACTTTTCTCTTCTCATATGATTGGGAAAAATTGCTTTCTATTGGGATTAAACTTTGATTTCTCTAAATTTTCAGGCTCTCAGTTAAAATACAGTGTTCCTCTCATTTTTATTTTGGGAGGAAACTCTATTAAAGACAGTTTTCCTGAAGATCTTCATTAATCTTGATTTAACCAGGATCTTCTTTTGAAGTACTAGTCTCTTTTTAAAAGACTTTTTATGTATGTGGTCATTATTTGACCTCTTAGGAATTCAGCGCTATTTTTAATTTCCTTTTCTTCTGGAATTGTGCTTTTCCAGAGCATCTGAATCTGAGTTTTCCTTATTCTGATATGTTAAAATTTGTGATTTAAATTTTTTAAATTTTATCATTCTTTTTATAGTCCATTAACAGACAACTGTTTTTGCTTCATTATGCTTCTGAGACAGACTCTTGATTTTAGTTCTATTTAATATTGCTTTAATTTGAATTACAAAATCCTAATTATTAAATTTTGAAGGTTAGGTGTAAGGGAGAAATGACAGATTTTTCCAGAAATCCGTTATATTATCTGAGAAGAGCTTTCATTTTTTAATCATGATTTCAACTAAGTGGTTTGCTGTCTTTTTTTTTTTACCATACTATATTCTGTTTTTACTCCTGTCACTTATTTCATTCATATTTCAACAGTTTTCTTTTTAATTCTGCTTGTATATGAGATATCTTTCTCATTGGTTCATTTCTGATATAAATTACTGTCTATATCTGCGCTGTCCAATATGGTAGACACTAGCCACATGTAGTTATTGAGCTCTTGAAGTGTGGCTTTTCTGAATGGAGATGTACTATAAATATAAAACATCAGATTTAGAAGATTTTGCATGAAAAAAGAATGTAAAATATTAGTAATATTTTATACTGATTATATGTAGTAAAAATAATATTTTCTGTATATTGGACAAAATAAAATTTAAAATTAGTCACCTATTCTTTTGACTTTTTAAAATCATGGCTATTAGATAATCTAAAATTACATGTGTGGTTCGCTTTTGTGGCCTCCACTCTATTTCTCTTGAAATGAAAACATGATATTGCTTTCTTTGGAATTAGTCATAACAAAATGAATTATTTATTTAGTCACACAAGTTTTAGCACATTGGGAAAAAAATGTGTCTCTGTACCTGGTTTCTAATGTGAGTGTACCTGTTACTATAACTCTGGTAACTCGAAATTTATTTTTATGTTAACTGCAGTTATGGAATTCTCCAAATTCACTATTCTCAGACACTGTAACTTTTAGGCATTCTGTAGACCATCGTACAATAATAGCTGGACTTTAATACATCTCTGGAGAAACTATCGAGAAACCAGCAAGTTTTTTTTTTCTAGTGTGCTGTTTTAACAGGCTTTTAAAAATGGTTACTTTCTAAACTTACAAGTAATGGGGCACTCCCACACTTATTAGAAATAATGATGTGTTTAAATCTTATTTATATTCTTCTCCTCATCTCTAAACATTTTGAGAAGGAAAAATTCCCCAAATGAGATTCTTCTATCCATAAACTGCAACAAAATATCTATAGTGTTGACCTCTAGAAAATCATTTTTAAAATAGAAAACCTTTGTCCTAGTTATGGACACGAGTTACAGGAAGGGGAACAGTAGTCAGTATCTATTTCTTTATCCTTAAGTTTACTTTCCTCCCACCCTTTCTCTTTTCTTTTGAGTTGATTGTGTAAGGTTTTCTGCCTCCCACCTCTTCAAAGAGAGAGATGATTACACCCCAAATCTAAAACATGGGAAAGAACCAAAAAGGTGTACCTTTCGATGTTTAAAATTATTCTCCCTTTGTTTGTGTCACAAACTCAGGTAGTCTTATTTAAAACAGTAAAGAGCTATCCTAAGAAAAAAGAAATATTAGAGGTCTATATTATAGTAATTACCATTTAGTGAATTAGGGCTAAGATTTTTCTGGAGCCCATTTTTGTGAGTGGTAACGGACTAAATAATAAAGGTGTTACATAATTTAAACTCATTTCTTCCACTTTCAGAATAGAAAATGTTAGGGAAAAGAAAAAAATGCAATTTAATGTCTTTTCTCAGTGCTCTAATTTGGATTTTTTCCCTCCGATGTGTTTGGTGTGGACAGCGGAACATGATCTGGATCAGATTGACTACATTGACTATGCTGCAGAGGACGAAGAGGACGAGGCGAGACAGCCCAAGGGCCTGCACTCAGACAGCCTCAGTTCACAGTTCATGGCATATATTGAACAACGGCGGATCTCTCATGAGGTAGTACACACATTTAAGCCTAACAATGTTGCTATCCCCTAGTGGAAATAATTTGTCGTGGTATAAATTTCTGTCATAACCGTGATTTGTTGATTTAGGCTTAATTATTTGTTTTATTATGTTCAGTTCCAATTTCATTACCAATTTTTTCAGATTGATTTTTTTCAAAAATCAGACAGTAGTCTCAAATAGGGTTCAGGTTTATTTTTCAAACAAAAAGACAGATTTTAGACTTTTGAAAAAGGAATTAAAGGTGTCCTAATAATATCCTGTGCCTTCAAAGAAAATGCGGAGGAATATGATGCTTTTCATTGTTCTTACTTTTTTTAATAATAGTTCGTATTATTATATTTTTTATATTACCATTTATCCCCCTTTCACACCCATCCACCCACCCACCTCCCCCTGCAATCACCACATTGTTGGCTATGAGTCCTTTTCCTTTTTTGTTCTGTCCCTTCACCCCCCCAACCCTGCCTCCAGCTGAGACCCTGATCTCTATCAGTGTTGTCTGTATTTTGCTTGTTAGTTCAGTTAGATTCCACATGTGAGTGAAATCATACAGTATTTGTCTTTCTCTGACTGGCTTACTTCACTTAGCATAATGTTCTCCAGGTCGATCTGCTGTCAAAAAGGGTAAAATTTTTCTTCTTTTTTACGGCCAAGTAGGATTCCATTGTGTAAATGTTCCATAGTTGTTTTCTCCTCTTGTCTACTGATGGACACTTGGGCTGCTTCCAAACCTTGTCAATTGTAAATAATGCTGCAATGAACATAGGCGTGCTTGTATTCTTTCAAATTAGTGTTTCAGGTTTCTTTAGATAAATTTCCAGAAGTGGAATCGCTGGGTCAAAAGGCAGATCCGTTTTTAATTTTTTGAGGTATCTTCATGCTGCCTTCCGCAGTGGCTGCCCCGGTCTGCATTCCCACCAACAGCGTCGATGGTGTACCCCTTTCCTCCACATTCTCACCATCACTTGTTTGTTGATTTATTGCTGATGACCATTCTGACAAGTGTATTGTTACTAACTGATAAATCATATTTTGATCAGTAATTAAGAATTATACCAAACTGGTGACGTTTGGAGCAACATACAAACTTAACCATAGAATTTTTTTTGTCAGTCTACCCTCCCCGCAAGCCTTATTACTTAGAATTGGATTTTTGGAAGCTGGGGACATTAGTTGTATACTTGGGAACAGGTAGTTTTCTTTCCCTAAAGGGAGAGTCTGAACATCAAAGAGTGAAAAGAATGCTTCTGGACTGTTTGTCTTGTGTTTCATTTTAACATCAGTTTTGAGTCAAGGTGCTTCTTGGTACTGGGTCAGTTATCTTGCTAACTTGCCTGTTTCTCACACTTTGTTCTGGATGATTATAGCCATTATTCTATTGTCTTTAAAGGTGCTAATGGAGATCTAGGTCATAAAACCTTTCCATTTTCTGAATATTTTATACAGTACACACCTTTGTAGACCAGACGGCAGTGGGTCCTCCTGACCTTCTACAATAGTGAGACTGAAAGTCAATCCGCAAGTGAGAAAAGGGAGGAATCGTTAAATGTGGCATTTCACTGGGACAGGAATAGCCAAACCCATAAAATTTTCATAATGAGCTTAATTATTTTGGAGCTTTTATGCTCAGTCACAGAGAATATAAATTGCTTGCCATTAAAATTCTTGGGTGCCTCTTATAGTGGAGCACTGAGTTGCCTTATGAAACAAATGAGCATTCAGTCCACTGCAGACTCTCTGCCAGTTCCCCAAGGGCCTCACGTAGAAATAGCATTCTTCAATATATCTAGTCAGCATAATAAAATGGCTCCATTTCAGTATGTGTTGTTAATGTCTGTAGTTGGTCCCAGGCCGTGAGCAGCAGTTACTGAGAAACAGTTGGGCCTTTTTTGAGAATCATGAAATAGAGAATAATCACTTCAGATGGGACATGTTATGGAGTGATGTTATCATTCTTTTTAAAAATCTTTTGGGTTTTCTGTCTAAAGGCTTTTGAACAGTGTTTTCTTATTGGTGTTCAGAAGACACTCTTATATTTAAAGTTGGATAAAGTTATATAAACCAAAGTCCTGCAACCCAAAGATAGCAGTATGTACGAGGTGATTAATGAAACCACTGTGGTTTAGGCTATACACATTCCAGGAAGAGCAGCTAGTTCACAATAAAGTTAAAATTAACAACGCACACTATAATCTTAAAGGAAATCCTTTTCTTGTCTTTCTTTGATCATTCTATGGTTAATTAGGCTGTACAAATGAGGTATTTCTACTAAAAGTCGTAATGCCTGTTACTCTGCTGGTGGAAAATTGTAGTAACATTTCTTTAATCCATTATATTGGCTAGTTTGTAATGATAAGTTTTTAATTCCCACTACCTATTATGAATGGTAGTCTTTATGTTATAAGGCTCTTTATGACTTCTGTGTGATAAGGCTTTCTAAAATTTGGCATCTATAAAAAGTAAGATGAAGCAGTATTATTTTAGGTGGTTTAATACTCCGTGAAGAACTATTTTTGTGTTCTTGAATACTATCTGAAAATGGATTGTTAAAAAACTAATCCATTTGAGATTTTAAATATTCAGCTATTGTTTAATTTTATTATAATACCTCTCACATACATAGAAGTATTATTATACAATAGGGTATGACTTACATTTATAAAATATGACATTTTTTAAAAATTGTAAACCAATGTCACGTTCATTTTGTTATGAAAATTTCATCTACCTCTTGGCAATAATTTCAGATACTTGTAGTGTAAAACAGGGTGATAAGTCACTGGTGGTTACATACCAGAAGAGATTTTTATTTTTTAAAAAGCCATGTTGACAAATTAGAATAATTCTTTTCCCATCAGGATTCTAAAATTGTAACTCATTTTATATGATCCTCATACCCAAACAGATTTAACCCTTTGGAATAAGTCACCAAAGATTTTCTAGTTATATGTAACGTGCCTGTTTTTTGGAGCTAGACCATAACTAGTTTTACATTTGATTTTTAGATATACTTTTTAGATAAGTTGTTTTCTTTTTATTCAGGAATACCTATTTTGATGATTATTTTTAGTGTTGAAACAAGATTGTATTGTTTCTATAAATTTTCACTTAGCAAAATACATGCTGTAATAACCTTCAAGCTTCTTTGATTTATAATTTTATTTGTCAGTATGTGGTCCATATCACTTCAGTTTAATTTTCCTCAATAATGTTTTTTTAAATGACCTTTAGTTTATAAATAAATTAAATTGCCAATATTTCACTTTAATTAATATTTTACCATGAAAAGAAATTACTTTTTTCTTTATCTTGATATTCCACCAACATCCCCAGGACTGTATGTATGACTAAAGTAACAGTTTGTGATGATGAAGAAGAAATGTGATCTGCCCAGTGAGTTCCTTTTTCCCAGTAGGGTAGGTCGGAATTTCTCTTCTAGACAGAAGTTTGTGCTAGGTGACCGCTAAGATCCTTTTCAGCTCTAACATCTTATCATGCATTCATACTGTATGTCCACTATAACTTATATAATGTGGTGAGAAGGGAATCTACTTTTTTGAAAATAAAATAAACATTTTTGTATTATGAGTAGTTTTGTGTTTACCAAAGGAGGACTAAGATAGGCTTATCATGCTCTAAACATAAAAATTCACATTTGAAGATTCTGTTTATAATATTTTTAGTGTAATATATGTGTCCCTAAATGCCAAGTTGAATGTGAATTGTGTAATCACAGTATTCTGGGTACATATGTTAAGTTGATTTATTTCTGGTTTGTTTTTGTTTTGTTTTTTTGGTGTAGGGATCACCAGTAAAGCCAGTACCCATGAGGGAGTTTCAAAAAACAGAAGACATGAGAAGATATTCACATCAAAACAGGTGTGAAAAACCAATTCCATTCCTTTGTTCCTGTCTTAAAACTCAATAAAAGGTGTGAAATGATTTTGGTTTTGTAAAGATCCAGGTATAATGAAGACCTTACATCCTGTGTGTTTTAGATACCATGTATTTAGAGCTGAGTGATAATGTGCCTTTGGGCTCATGTAATAAATAACAAAAACAAGTAAAATTGATTTATTGATTCTAAATTCAGATCATTTAAAGCATTATCTAAAGAATTATTTGATTTGAAAATACGGGGGGGGAAGGCAGAGACAAATGTATTTAAAAAAGTAAATAAATTAATTTAAAAAAAAAAAGAAAAAAAAAAGAAAATACTTCACCATGAGATTTTATGGTGATATGTCTGGATTTATGCACAAAGACAGCTAAATGAAATTCCCAGCCTTTGCCTTTTTCTCCTGTCTGTTTTTATGAACTCTTTTAAGCAGTAGACTTGACATGCCTATTCTTAAACAATGGTCAATTTCCTATGTGGAAGTGTGATACATAGTCCTTTACTTACACTTGACAGGATATTATGGTTGTTGAGGGCACTGAGACATAGCTGGATGAGGAAAATGGAGAGAATAATTAAAGAAATCAATAACTTGGCCTTTTATAGTTGTATCAGTCAGTTTATAGCAATTTAGTTAAGTTGTATATCTTTGTTTATCTCAAAGTGGCTTTTTAGTTGCCACGTCTGCTTATACTGAGGATGTGGTCTTCTGAGAATCCAGTTTCATGCAGGGATTTCCTGTTACATATTCCCACTTTGGATGGACTTACACTCTATCGCCCATCCCTCTTGGTTCCTACATTCATCCTAAGTAAAGCTCAAGATCTCTCGAATTTAGTAGAAACCCTCAAGGTGAAAGCCAGCTTCTTTTGCTCGGTTGCCTTATGTATTAATTTTCTAATGCTTATGTAATAAATTATCACAAAGCTAGCGGCTTAAAACACCCCTATTTATTTTGTCACAATTCTGCTGGATTTTCTTGGTTCTCTGCCCAATGTCAAGGTGTTGGCTGGCCTGGATTCTTATCTAGAGACCCTGGGGGAGAATCTACTTCCAGGCTTATACAGGTTGTTGGCAGAATTCAGTTCCCTGCCATTACAGACTGAAGTCCCCAAATACCTTGTTGGCTATCAGCTGGGAGTTATTTTCAGCTTCTAGAGTCTACCCACATTCATTGGTTCATGGCTCCTTCTATGTTAACCCAGCAGTGGTGGGCCAGATCCTTCTCACATTTTGATTCTGTCTGGTTTCCCTTTCCACTGCATCTCTCAAACTCTCTTGCCTTCCTCTTCTTCTAAGGGCCCATGAGATTATATTAGGCCCACCCTGGTAATCTTCCCATTTTAAGGTCAGCTGATGAGTGACCTTAATTTCATCTGCAAAGTCATTTTGACACATAATATATTCATTGGAATAACACCGGTGAGGAGATCATAGGGGCCAAAAATCTGCCTATCAAACCTTCCAGCATTCCTATTTTTACTTCTTTTTAGAGTCTGTGGGTTCTTTATTTTTAATGGCACTTCAGCAGGATTTTAAAAATTATTTTATTCAACATTTTAGTTGTTTCCATTGAAAGAGTCATGCAGAGTATGTCATCTGCCAAACAGTGCTAGAAACCGAAGCCATGATGATAGTCGTCCCTCATTGTCCATAGGGTATTGGCTCCAGGACCACTTTGGATTCCACAATGTGCAAGTCTTGGTTGGCTCTCCGTATCTCCAGGTTCTGCATTGGGGGTTCAGCCAACCATAGATTGAAAATGTTGGTTGAATTCTGATGCAGAACCCACAGATTCAAAGGTCTGACTGTACTTTTAATTGGCTGTTTCAAATGACTAGACCAATACAGTCTTTGGATAGGAGCTCAATACTCTATCCCAATAACCAGTTAAGCTCTCAGATCAATGCAGTTGACCCTTGAAAAACATGGGTTTGAACTGAACACGTCCACTTATATATGGATTTGTTTTTCAATAAATACTTGTTCTGTTGTTGTTTTTTTAAGATTTTATTTTATTTTTAGACAGAAGGGAAGGGAAGGAGAAAAAGAGGGAAAGTAACATCAGTATGTGGTTGCCTCTCATGTACCCACTACTGGGGACCTGGCCTGCAACCCAGGCATTTGCCCTGACGGGGAATTGAACGGGTGACCCTTTAGTTCGCAGGCCGGCGCTCAGTGTGCTGAGCTACACTAGCCAGGGCTCTTGTTCTGTTTTGGTTTGCTCTTGGGAGTTCACGGTTGTGAAAGGCCAACTTCATACACTGATCTATGCCACTTTTTGTAAGTGACATGAGCATCTGTGGATATTAGTATCAGCTGGGGAGAGGTGGGGCTGGAACCAATTTCCCATAGATACCAAGGGATAACTAAGTTTTGGGGGTGTCAAAAGTTGTAGGTGGATTTTTGACTGCAAGGAAGAGGTGGTTGGTACTCCTAACCCTGCACATTGTTCAAGTGTCAACTCTCCTTCATTTGTTTAGTTATGTATTTGCTCAGTATCTATGTGCCACTCTGTGTGCCAAGTACTTTTCTAGGTATTGGGAAACAGCTGTTAACTTTAGTCAAAGTTCCCATCCTCCTAGAGCTTATATTCAAATGGAATTATATTAATTAGAACCTAGAAAAATAAAATTACCTCAAAATGACTGGCAGCTCTCAGGCTACCAAAACCTGTCTTAACCAAAAAAATTCTTATCAGTCCTCCAGTTACAAAGACTCAAAGGAATTGACGCAGTTTAACAAACTGCTACTTACCCATTAGTCAGTTGCTAAAAAGAAAGTTGCTTACTTTTTCATCTTAATTCTCCGTCCCTCCCCTCACCCACCACGTACATTGCTTCCTACCTTCCCCTTCCTTACACACATAGATACCACCTGCCTAGAGGATAGTAAAGGTAAGGGGATAAATTATGATAAATTGGTAAGTACTTTGTAGTTATTTGGCAAGATGGATTAAATAAGGATAAGTTAAAACTAACATCTGAAAGGCATTTTATTTCAGGAGAGATGATAACATCAAGCTAGGTCTTGTCCAGTTTATTAATTTCTGTTAGAAGCAGTACAGAATTAAAAAATATTTGGCTGGCCCTGGCAGGTGTGACTGAGTGGATTGAGTGCCAGCCTGCGAACGAAGAGGTCGCCAGTTCAATTCCCTGTCAAGGCACATGCCTGGGTTGAGGACCAGTCCCCCAGCTGGGGGCGCACAAGAGGCAACCGCACATTGATGTTTCTCTCTCTTTCTCCCTCCCTTCCCCTCTCTCTAAAAATTAATAAATAAAATATTTAAAAATATATCTTTTAAAAAATCATTTGGCTGATAATCATAGTTTAAATTTTTAGGTCCTAAATGTCAAAAAGTCACTGTTGCAACATTGTTAGTTTTAAAGACACAGATGAGTAACAGAAACTTGCAACACTAAACCCAGTTCAGGAAAAAGATAAATACCAAACTACAAGAATTAACACTGATAAAACTGAGAGACAAGTTTTACTATTTTCTTAAGCATCAATCAGGTTTCATCTTTTCCTTAAGAATAAAAACTAATAGAACCTTTACTTTTGTTATTAAAATTTCTTCATCAGTTGAAAATGGGAGTAGGAGTGCTTTACAAGTACGATTACCAGGTTCTGTAGTAGTCCAGATTTCTGTTGATAAATGACTCTGTATATAAAACAACCTTCAGTTATGTGTATCTTGTTTCAGTCATGGTAATAAAGAAGATAATAGTAATTCGTGCTATAAAGAAATGATACTGTTTGAAAAGTGATCTCAAATAACTATTGTCAGCACTGACTGATTACAGACCATTGTTAGCTGTCTGTAGCTTGGTCAGTGATACAATCACGTGAAACATGAGTTGAAGACATCAGGTATTTCTGTAACTTAATTTAATGACTTGGGCTCAAGTTTACAGAAAATTCGTTTAGTCTTTCAGTGCTAACTAGACAGCTTGCCTATTGATTAATAGAGAGCTACATTAACAATGAAGTTTCACTTGTCTTTTACATATCTGTTTCTCTTATCAAAGAGTTTTTTCTTTTTCTTTTTTGGGTCAGGGTTCCAGTTGAGCCATCTCTCGTGTCACTATCACCAAGTCACAATCAGGTAAAAATTACTTTCTGTTTTGGTTTTGAGCTTGCTTTCTTTTTTTTTTTAACTTTTATTAGTATTTATTTTATGCTGAATTGACTCCTGGGCCATAAGCTTTTATTTCTTCAGTTTCTTCCGGGATATCTTTTTCTTCTGTTCAACTTCCTCTTCTGGTTTAGGAACAATCTGTTCTTTTTCAAGAAAGATCACCTCAGTGTGGCAGGGAGAGCTCACATGGGGGTTAATCTGCCTTTGAGCTCTATAAGTTCTGCATGGGGTCTTGGGAGCTTTGTTCACCTGGATATGCTCAATAACTAGAGAAACTACATCTAAGCCCTTAAGTTCAGCATTAGTCTCTGCATTTTTAAGCATGTGTAGCAAAAACTCAGCACTCTTTTTGGGCCACTGATCCTATGTCCATCCCCATGTTTGGCCTTGAGCACACCTACCAACTCCACCATTCCAGTGATGGAATGACACTCACTGCTTCTTTAAAGAGACATCTTTCAGATACTCGGTGGCTTTTTGAATATGCATACCCTTGATGACCTGGGAGGTTTTGCAAGTGTTCTTAAAGCAAACACAAGGATTTGAACCTCTTGATTTGTGTGATTTCGTGGGGGGTTTTTGGGTCAACTGAATAGTGAACCATTTTCAGAGGTCACCTCTGGTCGCTTTTGGAAAGAGCAGATTTGATCTTTTTTTAACAAAGATTTTTTTTTCTTTTATAATACTTAAATTCATGGTCAGATATCTGTAAACTTCACTACCTTTCTTCTCAGTCATATAGTTATATAACATTTTCCCCTGATACTTGCTAACAGTGTTTTTAGGTACCAGACAGAAAATAAGTCTTTACCCACATGATGGTTTTATAGTACATATAAGAACACAGTGCAAAAATGAGAAAACATTCACAGTAAACACATTAAAGGAAATGCTAGGTGACTACAAAATAAAAGTTGGGCCAGTAGTAGTTCCCAAAATTGTTGAGTTGATGTTTATCCTTACTTGCATATGCAAACTGACTTTGGTTTCAGGCATCACATACAGACTTAGAACTTCATCGGAGAAGAGAACAATTAGTGGAGCACACTCGGAGAGAGGCGCAGCTTGCTGCCATACAGTATGAGGAGGAGAAAATACGGACCAAGCAGATTCAGAGAGATGCTGTCCTGGACTTTGTCAAAGTGAGTCCTTTGAATTCATTTAATGATATTCCTAAAGTTTTGTAGAAGTGCTCATTTTTTTTACTGAGGCTGTCATTATTTATTGTCTTAATCAAAATATCAATTTTTTTCCTCATATAAGGAATCTTGAGTAAATAGTCTAACTGCCTCCTACTTATGATTATATTAATTGTCCTCATGTAGATAGGCCTGAGGACAGTTAGAAGTGATGCTCTTGCTCTTAAGCCAATAGTCTCTTCCTCTTACTTAGCAATCACTTTACTGTCTAGCTGCCATTTTCTCAGTCTTGAGTGCATTAGTAGAGATCAATAATATTATAAAAATGGAAGTGCCATGCCAATGTAAACCATTGTTAGCTAACCTATCTCTGACTTCCTCACTGCCAAATACCAGAAACTTGGGAGACTCCTGGGCCTTTAGAGTCATCTGTGATTCTTTCCTTTCTATTCTCTCCATACCTACTCAACTATCAACTCTCGTTAATACTTTTTCCTTTTTCTTTTCTTTTTTAACATTTACCTTTATAGATGCTTCTAAATCTGGTTTGGTTTTTTTGTTTGTTTGGTTTTTTGGGTTTTTTTTTGGGTTTTTTTTTTGCCTGCATTGTTTGTCTCTATGTTCTGAAATCATCTTGAATTTTTCCTTCATAATTAAATAATTATTTTTGTTTGTTTAATATCTGTCTCTCTCATTTATCTGTAAACTTCATAAAGACAGTGACCGTGTCTCTTATTTATTCATTGCTATATCCCTAGATCTTAGCAGGTCTTAGCTTATAGTAAAGCTCAATAAATGTTTGTTAAATGAATGAATCATTCATGTCCTCCAAACACTTTCTCTCCTGTGGTTTTTTTAACTCTAACCAAAGACCATCTTCTTTGAGTACCAAACACATGATAAATTATTATTTTTTCCAAGTTTATCAGAGAGGATGATAATTTGCCTAAGGTTAAATACTTAGCCAGTATGTGGCAGAACAAGGATTCTAATCAAGGCAGGCTGAACAGAAAATGTAAATAAGGTTGATGGAAAAGAAATAGTTTATTAAAAAAAAAAAAAAAAAAAAAACAAGACCAGCTGGCTTCAAACCCTGCATTATGACTGCAGTGCTATATATACTGATTGTCAGTAAATAATAATGGCTAACTCATACTATGTCCTAAGTGCTGTTCTATGCATTTTATATAAATTAACTCGTTTAGCTTGCCTTCTGGAGAAATCATAGCTAGTAAGACATAGTCTCATTGTAGACAGTCTTGACTGAATGTCAAATTAGAGTTTAATCGTGTTCCGTTAGGTGGAAAAAATAATTGTAAGTTCTTAAGCAGCCAAAAAAAAAAGGAAAAAAAACCCACAGAGGAAAGATACTTCTGAAAAACTAATCTGTTGGTTTTGAATAATGTTAGAAAGAGACTAAGACAGGAAGAAGTTGAAATGGAGAATAATTGTAATAATAAGACTAGGGTGCTAATTAAAGTCATAAAACTAGACAATTTCTAAGGTCCCTAAGGAGTGGTGAGAGCTTAAAATCAGAAATATTTAAATTTGAATCCAGTTCTGCTTCTCGTATGTGCTTGACTTTTGTAAAGTTACTGAACCATTCTGCACCTTTAGTGACTATTTCAGAATTATTATGATACATCTAATACTTTTACCAGTATGGTGAGTGCTATACACACCCTACCACAACAATAGATTTTAAGAATTATTGGAGAGATTTCAAGAGAAACATCCTCATGTCTTATGTATAGAGGTGCAGTGAATGTTGACCGACTCATTGAAGATGATGGGGGCAGGGTGTGGAGTCCCAAAGGAAGGGAGAAGGAAACATGAATGGGAGAGAAAAGCAGCAACTGGTTGCCTCCCATGTGTCCAGACAGGGACCAAACCCTCAACCTTTGGGTTATGGGACAGGGCTCCAACTAACTGGGCTGCACCAGCCAGGGCAAGATTTTGAGGCTAAAACATTGATTTTAATAAGAGTCTAGCATTCTGGAAAGAATGTAGGATTTGGAGTTGGAAGACATAGGTGCAAATCCCAGTTATGCTATGTACCAACTTTGCAACCTTGCATATGTCACATAACCTCTCCTGTCCTTAATTTTCTCATCTTTAAATGATTATGATGTTTGTTTGTCTCAGGGTAAGAGAAGGAATCACTTGAGATACTGTATGTGAGAACACACTGTAAAGCACTGACTGTACAGATATTATAATACTGTTTTTTAACATAATAACAGAAATTAACAAGTTGGGGGGAAAGAGCCAACTGGTTTGGAAAATTGTAAGTTTGTTTTTGGATGTGTTGAACACGAGGTGAGAGTAGAGTTTCCAAGTAGAGTGTTTCCACAGGCATTTGAAATACAAATGTGAAATTTGGCCGAAAGGTGAGAGCTAAAGCTCTTAGCATTAGAGTGATATTTGAAGCCATTAGAGAAAGAACAATTTCATTAGGAGAATATAGTGAGAGTTCACTACTTTGTGAATGTGTTTGTATGCATGTATATATAAAAAATACTTTTTTAAATGTCTATTTATAGATGCTTGTAGACATGAAAATACTGTTTGTCATTGTATTGCCTTTCCTCATTTCAGTTGTAAGCTATTTAAGGAAAAGAGCAACATCTTCTAACCAGTAAATATAGAAAAATGTTATGCACACGGATACAGAAATTAATACAATTTTTTTAGTAAACAGAATTTATCATTTCTAGTGTTCCACACTCTAATCAACTTCCCTTTTTTGGGGGGGCCTTGGGCTCTATAGCAAAAAGCGTCACACAGTCCACAAAAACACGCCCCCTTCAGTGGCGAGGTAAGTCTATATAATCACCTTTACTTTGGAGTTTTTCAGTGTAATGGAAATGAAATGTTTGGCATGTGATTATCATGTGTTTTCTATGATCAAAATAGTGCTGTTTTCTATTTTCTCTTCACAAAACTGTTTATTAAGGGGAAGGAGACACAGGCCAGGGAGTTTATCAGAATCTGTAGATGAGAGGTTTTTTAAAATATACACATTCGCCTGGGGGTTACCCCCCCATCCCCCCCAGCGGAGTCATCTCCCTCATCCATTTTCAAAGTGTGCCCTGTAGTGAGAGCTAGTCCTGAGAGGTGCGTCCAGCACGGGGGGTGGTGTCAGTATTAAACAAAAAAAGACTCTACATAGTGTTTTCAGCTTCATCACTCATTTCCTCAGGGTGTGTGTTACTGATTATTGTTGTCCACATTAGTTAATGCACTCTTCCATTTTTATCCCACATTTCCTTCTTGATGGTCATTCTGGAGAATTCATTATCTAAAAATTAAAGCTTCTCAGGAAAATAACAATTCTAAAATTTTTGGTTATACTCTTGTTTTGTCTGAGAAGGGTAATAAAGAGAGGCGTAGACTAGAAATCGTGATTTTTTAATTTATTGTTTTTACTTTTCATTGGCTCACTAAATAACAAATTCTGGCTTTCTCTTCTGTGAGCAAAGAATAATTAATCCCTGTTCCCACTTTGGTTTAGAAAGTTTTTAGGCAGTAAGATCATATTTGAAACTGTTCAAACTCTTTGGAAGAAAATCTTTACTCAGAACCAACTTAGCTATTGTGTATGAATTGCAAATTATATTCAGTGTGGTCCTGTATGTTAGCATCTTCACAAGTATGTCTTAATATGTTTCTTTGCTTGCGTGTTTGTGAGATATGTCATGTGTGTGCAGTCTGTTTTTGACATTGCTTCATTTTCTCCACCTCTCCAGTGTTCCTTCCCATCCAGAAGGTCTCAACACACTGATGATAGTGCCTTGTTAGTGGTAAGAGCCTTGCGCAAAATGGAGTTTTAAATTGCTGCGTCTAGAGATTGGAGAATAGCTACTGTATTTCTCATTCAGAAATGACCTAAATATCATAAAACATGATGGGCATCATTACTAAATGCTTTACAGAAGGGCTAGAACTGTTTTCCTTCATTGCTATTCATGATTTTCCCAGTGATCCGGTGTTCTGCAGCTACAGTTGAAATATCTTTGTTAATGTTTTCAAAAGTAAAACATTTGCGTTGAGAACCATATTGGCTTTGTATGTGTGTTGGGAGTTTTTTAAATGTCATTTCTAATTCCAGGTGCACTTATTTTATTAATCATTAATTTAGCTAATGAGACACATGTGTGTTATTTGGGTTTCTTTACTCCATGATGCTAATCATACAACTGTGTATTTGGCTTCCTATTTTGTCATCTGTCTTAAACTACTGAAAATCCCACACTTTAAAAAATTACTTACATCTCAAGATTATTCCTCCATGCCCATTCTTAAACTCAGGGAAACATTAACTTGGGATGCTATCTCCTGATCATTTTTAACACTGGTTTACTTTCATTGCCTATTTATCAGCTGAAAATCAGTATAATATGAGAACTTGATCGACTGTTTTACTTTTATCAACCTGGAAAGATAATTCTAACCATTTACATAATTGCTTTTTTCATCATGTTGTATGTGGGTTTTTTCACAGTAGTATTGAAAACTAGCAGTTCAAAAGTCTGCTGTCTATATCAACTCCTGTCTTATGTGCTCGTCACTGCCTCCATTGTGTTTACTACTGCATGAACTGCATACTTCACATGAGATGCCTATTACATAAACTTCCATCGTCCAGATTTGTGTGTGTTCTGAAATCATCATTTCCTTTGAGACAGATAAAGCACATATTAACTGGGCAGTCTTATAGATGAAGATAGCCACCAGCTTCTGGAGTTTTAGTGGAAGTTAAATGGCATGAGAAGCAATTAGTTTAAATTAACACAGAAAAATATTGAGTTCCTGTGATGATTGAGTGCCTGTGATGATTCAGACACGTTACCAGAGTTCTCCTTCACTCCTCAGAGCACCCTTCAGGTTAAACTTATCACTGTTTTTGCAGATGAATCCTGAGGCACAGAATATCTTGCCCAGAATGTGACTTATTCAGGGTCACATAGCTAGTAAGTGCCAGGCTGTGTTTAAATCTTGATCTAGCTGACTTGAAAACCTTTATTAAATACCACACTGTATTGCCTCCCACGCTATAATTGAAAATAATTTAGGAAATCAAAGGTGAGGTTTCATAACACATGTAATAAGTGATATAATTCTGAATGTCCAGACTTTTTTGTTAAGGAAAAAGTGGAAGTTGGAAAAACAACAACAAAATACCCTTCAGCCATTTCAAAGCACACGCATCTGCATTTAGTTATCAGATTCCTGTCTCACCTAAATTAGATGGTCTTTGTCTGCCATCTTGGAGCTGGAGGGGGCCTGTTGGGAACAGGACTCCTACGACAAGTATGTCTGGAATGCTGTGGTCCAGGGCCATTTTTTTCCAGCTATAAGCGAGGTCTCTGGGCCAAAAGGAACACACAGCTCTTCTTAAAATTAGAGGAGTTTATGCTCAAGGAGAAAGTGAATTTTCTCTACGCAAGGGATGTGCTCTTGTGTACGCAGCAAAGAACAACACAATGACTCCTGGCAGCAAACCAAACAAAACCAGAGTCGTCTGGGAAAAGGTAACCCATGCTCATGGCAACAGTGGCATGGTCCATGCTAAATTTCCAAAGCAACCTTCCTGCTAAGGCCATTGGACACACAATCTGTGTAATGCTGTACTTCTCAGGGACTTAAACTTATTGGAAACAAAATAGCCCTGGTTGTTGTGGCTCAGTGGATTGAGCGTCGGCTTACAGACCAAAAGGTCGCCAGTTTGATTCCCAGTCAGGGCACATGCCTGGGTCCCCAGTTTGGGGCATGCAAGAGGCAGCCAACTTATTTCTCTCACACATTGATCTTTCTCTCCCTCTTTCTCCTTCCTTTCTCCTCTCTCTAAAAATAAATAAATAAACTAGTTTTAAAGGAAAAGAAATAAAATGGACTTGTTCTCCTGTAAAAAGAAAGAAAATGCAAGGTCCAAGTCACATATTTCTCTATGCAAAATAGTGCCCAACACTGCAAAAGAGTCATATTTTAAATCCTACCTTTGATCGTCCCAAATCTACTCTTCAGTGGCTTCATATGGTAAGATAAAGTCCGTATTTCTTAATACAACCTCCAAGTTTCTTAGAATAAAATCCAACCTTCTTAACATGGCATATAAGCTCTTGCATATTCTGGATACTGTCTGTCTCATCTCTGTGTTCATGCTATACAGGTAGTTTTCAGCTTTTTAAATCTGGCAAGCCCTTCCTTACTTACCTTTGCAAATGCTATTTCCTCTGCATGGAATGCCTCTTCCTTTCAGCATATACCCCTTGGTTAGTTCCTTCTCATCTATCTGTTATCAGCTCAAATGTCATCTTTAAAATGGCTTTTCTGCAACTCTCCACCCTCAAGTCAAGTGTATGTCTCTATAAATTTTTATAGTAGTTTTAGGTAGGTGTTTATTATTTTATATCCCTTATTAGACTACTAGACTGTAAGCCTCATGGGCCCAGGCTTATTCTCTGTTGCATTTACATGTGTATACTCAGTCCCTATCATAGTTTCGGGGATATATTAGGTGCTCAATAAATATTTCCTGAATGAACCCGTATATGCTATGCATCTAATAATCCTCATCAAATTGTTTCATGATGAAAAGGTCAGCTGATATAGCAAGGTAAATGTTGAATTTGATTTAAATAACTTGAAATACAGAATTTGAAATAAGTATTAGTAATATTTAATATCAATTTTTCTAACATTCTCTTAGGGTTGCTCTTCATTGCTTTCATCTTTGTCCCATCTGCATCTGTATTCTATCTCTAAATACTTTCTCCTCCCTTCACTCCCTTTTTCCTTCTTTGCCAACATAGTGGCTTTTTAGCCTTTCTATATTTGAAATTGACATTGATTCCAGTACATTGATGAATCTTAAAAGCAGCAAGAGAAAAGAAGTTAGTTACCGACAAAGGAGTTCCCAGAAGACTGTCAGCTCATTTCTCAAAAGAAACTTTGCAGGATAGAAGGGATTGGCAAGAAATATTCAGTCATGAAAAGCAAGGACCAACAGCCAAGATTGCTCTACCCAGCAAAGCTGTCATTTATCATTGAAGGGTAGATAAAGTGCTTCTCAGACAAAGTAAAGCTAAAGGAATTCATCATCACTAAACCATTGTTATATGAAATGTTAAAGGGACATACTTAAGAAAAAGAAGATCAAAACTATGAACATTAAAATGGCAAATTCACAACTGTCAACAGTTGAAACTAAAAAATTAAGCAAAAAAGCAGAACAGAAATAGAATCATAGATATGAAGATCACTTGGAGGGTTGTCAGTAGGGGCAGGAACGGGGAGAATGGGAGAAAAGATGCAGAGATTAAAGAACACAAGTTGGTAGGTACAAATTAGGGGGATATTAAAAACAGTATAGGAAATGGAGAAGCCAAAGAACCTAATATGCATGACCCATGGACATGAACTAAGAGGGGAGAAATGGGGTAACTGGTGGAAGGGGATTAATGAGGAAAAATTGGGACAACTGTCATAGCGCAAACAATAAAACATATTTTTAAAAAACTAAGAAAACAATAGAACAGAAGCAGAATCATAGATATGGAGAACATTGGGATGGTGGCCAATGGTAAGGTTGGTCTGGGGGAATAGGGGAAAAGGTGAAGGGATTAAGAAGTACAAACAGGTAGTTACAGAACAGCAGGGGAATGTTAAGAGCAAGTATAGGAATGGAGTTCCAAAGAACTTACATACATGACCCATGATATGAACAAAGCAGCGGGAAGCGCCAGAGGGAGTGGGGAGTGCTGGCGGGGGGGGGGGATTGGGACAACTGTAGTAGCATAATCAATTTTTAAAAACCTGTTAGAGACTTCTGGCCAAGATGGAGGCGTAGGTAAATACACTTTACCCCCTTGCACAACCAAAAGAAGGAAAAGAACAAATTTAAAAATAAAAAATACCAGAACTGCCAGAAAATCGAACTGTATGGAAGTCCGACAACCAAGGAGCTAAAGAGGAAGCATCCATCCAGACCTGTAGGAGGGGCAGAGACGATGTGCAGCAAGGTGGCAGCTGGGGGACTGGGCAGATAGGCTGTGGCTGGCTGACCACGTGGTCCCACATTTGTGTGGAGATGAGCCAGAGGAACAGCTGGGAAGTGAGACGCAATCCAGGGTTCCAGTGTGGGAAAAGAAAGCCTCAAAACTTCAGGAAGTAAAAACCTGTGAGGGTTGCAGTGGCAGGAGAAACTCCCAGCCTCACAGGAGAGTCTATTGGAGAGACTCACGGGGTCCTAGAATGTACACAAACCCACCCACCTGAGAATCAGCACCAGAAAGGGCCCAATTGGCTTGTGAGTAGTGGGAGAAGCAACTGAAAGCCGGAGACATCATTCCCTCTGAGACCCCTCCCCTCCACACAGCATCACAACTCAGTGACCTTGGTTGCCCCGCCCTGGCAAATACCTAAGGATCCACCCCATCCCTGCGTAACAGGTGAGCTGAGACAGAGAAAGATGGCCCATATGAAAGAGCAGATCAAAACTCCAAAAGTAGAACTAAGCGATGAACAGACGGCCAGCCTATTAGATGCAGTTCACTGGTATTTGGGATGCTCACTAATTGGTTGAGTATGGTTGCAAAATGGAGGTAAAAGCAAAGGCTACACAAAGTGAAATAAAGAAAAATACACAGGGAACCTATAGCAAAGGGAAGGAAACCGGGTCTCAAATCAACGATTGGAAGCAGAAAGAAGAGAGAAACATTCAACCAGAACAGAATGAAGAATCAAGAATTCAAAAAAATGAGGAGAGGCTTAGGAACCTCTGGGATGACTTTAAATGATCCAATATCCGAATCATAGGGGTGCCAGAAGGAGAAGAAGAGCAAGAAACTGAAAACTTAGTTGAAAAAATAATGGAGAACTTCTCCAATCTGGATCTTCTGGAAGGAAATAGACTTCCAGGAGATCCAGGAAGCTCAGAGAGTCCCAAAGAAGTTGGACCCAAGGAAGCACACACCAAGGCACATCATAACTACCTTACCCAAGATTAAAGATAAGGAGAGAATCTTAAAAGCCACAAGAGAAAAGGAGACAGTAACCTATAAAGGAGTTCCCATAAGACTGTCAGCTGATTTCTCAAAAGAAACCTTGCAGGCAAGAAGGGGCTGGCAGGAAGTTTTCAAAGTCATGAAAAGCAAGGACTGACACCCAAGATGACTCTATCCAGCAAAGCTATCATTTAGAATGGAAGGGCAGATAAAGTGCTTCCCAGATAAGGTCAAGTTAAAAGAGATCATCATCACCAAGCCCTTATTATATGAAATGTTAAAGGGACTTACCTAAGAAAAAGAAGATCAAAAACTATGAACAGTAAAACAGGGGAGGGGGAAGGGGAAGAATGGGGGAAGAAAGGTACAGGGAATAAGCAGCATACATAGTAGGTACAAAATAGACAGGGGGAGGTTCAGAATAGTATAGGAAATGGAGAAGCCAAAGAACTTATATGTACAACCCATGGACATGAACTAAGGTGGGTGGGGCGGTGTAGGGTGGAGAGAAATAAAAGGGAGGGAAAAAATGGGACAACTGTAATAGCATAATCAATAAAATAAAAAATTATAAAACCTGTTGCACATGAAAAAAGCAAAATGAGCTCTTTGGATTTTTTTCTTATGTCATAGGAATGGCACAGGACTCATTAGTTTCAAGGCTATTTTACCAAAAAAAAATGTTTCTTATTTTATTTCTATATAGCATCATTTTTAACAAATCATGCTTTTTAGTTCTTGATGAGGTGTTGAAATAGTTTGAATTTAAAAAGTGGAAAAATATTTCATAAATTGTGTCCCCCCCCCAATATTCTTTCTGCCTTACTAATATCTTAGTAAACCATTTGAAAGCATGTCAGTGACCTTTCCGTTTCTAATTTTACTGACCAGATCTGCCTTGCCTGCCTGCCTGCCATTTTGCTGACATAAATTCTGTTTCTGTTTCTCCTCTTTCTCTTTTGAAATTTAGTTGCTGTCAGGGTTGAATCAAGTGGGCTGTGCTGCTACCCTGCCTCCTCCTTCTGCCTTCACAGCTGTTAAGGTACTTTTTGTTACTGTTATTTACCAGGAACTTTGGGGAGGGGGTGTGTACCGCAGGTCTTAACTTTTCCAATGGATTGGTCTAATAGCAAGCAATCTGAAATCTAGGATTGCATGAAATATATCAAGCTGATAAAACTTTCAGTTTAACATTAATTCACTTGAAATTTTTTGAAAGTGTTATCATGCCAGAGACAGTCATAAAGATTGTTAATTCTTTATATTTAGATTCTATCTGAAATGTCATTCTAATTTTCTTATCAGTGGTTATTCTTTTCTCATGAGTCATTTTATTTTGGCCTCGATGTCTAATGTACCTGCAAAATATTTGGAGTCCCAGTCCTCAAAACTGTTAACTGCCAGCACCCTCAACAGTTGGGGTCAGCAGGCTCTGACCCCCAGGACTTGTGTTTCGGTAAATCGTTTTACTGATACCCAGCCATTCCCGCTTGTGTCTGTATTATCTGGGGCTGCTTTTGTGATTAGCAACCACTTTGGAATAGTTGTGCCAGAAATCTTATGGCCTAGAATCCTAAATAAGCACCTGCAGTATACTATTTTGTGAAGGCCTCTAGGGATGGTAATTCCATATTTGTCATGATATGATATATAAGAAATGATTAATAATCTTCACTGTCTAGAAGATCCTCTCCTTTTCTAACTCCTGTCTGTCCTCCTTGTTTTACACTTATTTCTTCTTTTCTTTCCAGAGTGGAGATTTTCTTATAAATATCAGTCTTTTGTAAGAATCCTTAAACGGGTCCAGCAGAAGTAAGGCCTGTTTGAGTGTGGTTGGTAGGGTAATAATATGGGTGTAATAATTTATAGTTTAATTTGAACATGTCGCCTAAAAAGTCATATGTTGCACTGGAGAATGATATTATTACGGTTCAGAAGTACATGCAGCTCTTGTAATAAAGAAGGGGCATTATTTGTGCCGGACCCTATTTGAAAACTATTACAGTGCTATACCCTTGTATTCTCCCTAAATAAACTCTGGCTTTTTACATGTCTTTCGCAGCCTTTCAGTCCTTATGAACTTTCACAGGTTCTCTGCCTTCCATTTTGGCTGCACTGTACCCAACTGCAAACATGTCCATGACTAGAGCTCACCTGGTCCTGAGCATGAAGCAAAGGCCTTTGACATGTCTTACTAAGTGTTATGTTGGCTTTTTCTGTTTTGATACTCATTTTGCTCAGTGTCTACAATAATTCTCAAGTGTTTTAGTAATACTCCTAAATGATAGTTAATTTCCATATGTTGTATTTTTTGTTTTCCAGAATACTTAATTTTGCTTTTGAACACTTTTACTTCTCTAATTCACCAGAGTACTTTAAAATTCCACTTCATGCCCTTCTAAATGCTGACCCCAGCTTATAACATCTGCAGACCTGATAAAACCTTCCCTCTGATGCTGCAGGTACCTGAATGACTCATGAAGAAACTGTAATTCCCTTTTGTGTTAACCCTTTGCTAGCCTTTCTCCATTAGGTTCCTTATTTGAACAGCAACACCGAAAATTATTTGAGGAACTGTTTTCAAAATTGTTTCAAGGAAGGTATATAAGTACTCCCATTCTAATTGCAGAGGAGAGAAATTAAATTCATTACACTCAATGGATACCTTAGGGCATTCGGGCTTATTTTACCATGAATCATAGTTGAGAAAAGCCAGGTGTGAGTGATCCAAAAATTGTGTGATGGTCTAATTTTATGTCAGACCAGCCTCACTGTCAAATGATTAGTTTAAAAAAAATTGTTCTTTATTTGTTGATATCCCAGTTACTTTACAGCAGGTCCACGCTAATATATAGGCATGATTTTATTTCTTTTGTTTCTTAACCAGGCGTAAAATTTGACTTCATGACAGATTCCATTTTTTTGCTCTTCATTTTCCAAGAATTCTCATTTAGTCAATGGCTTGGAAGCGATTTGAACTAATTATTTTAGTACCCTAGAGTGCAAGTCACTGAGGTTTATAATTTTAATAAAAGTATATTTTTAAAATCATAATTTTAAAAGTTGTCTCTGTCCTAGCTTTGTTTTCATTTTTTAAATTACACTTTATTGATTATGCTATTCCATTTGTCCAAACTATTCCCCCTTGGCCCCACTCCCTCAGGCAATCCCATGCCATTGTTCATGCCCATGAGTCATGCTAAGTTCTTTGGCTGCTCCACTTCCTATACTGTACCTTATATCCCCCATGGATATTCTGTAACTACCTATTTGCACTTCTCTGTTAAAAAAAAAATATTAGAGAGAGAGGAAGGGAGGGAGAGAAACATCAATGTGTGGTTGTCTCTGGCTGCTCCCCACCGGGGACCTGGCCCACAAACCAGAAATGTGCCCTGACTGGGAACCAAAACAGCAACCTTTTGTTTCTCAGGCTCGCACTCAATCTGCTGAGCCACACCAGTCAGGATCCTTTTTGTACTTCTTAATTCTCTCACTCTTCACATATTCCCCCACACCCCGTTCCCATCTGACAGCCATTAAAACACTCCATATCCACGGTTCTGTCTCTGTTCTTTTTGTTTGCTTAGTTTGTTTTGTAGACTCAGTTGTTGATAGATACATATTTATGGCCAATTATTGATCATATTTTTGGCCTTCTTTTTCTTAAATAAGTCCCCTTAACATTTCATGCAATAATGGTTTGGTGATGACTAACTCCTTTAGTTTTTCTTTCCTGGGAAGCACTTTATCTGCCCTTTGATTATAAATGATATCTTTGCTGGGTAGAGCAATCTTGACCGTAGGTCCCCGCTTTTCATGACTGAATATTTCTTGCCAATCCCTTCTATCCTGCAAAGTTTCTTTTGAGAAATGAGCTGACAGTCTTCTGGTAACTCCTTTGTGGGTAACTAACTTCTTTTCTCTTGCTGCTTTTAAGATTCTCTCTTTATCTTTAACCTTTAGCATTTAAATCATGATGTGTCTTGGAGTGGGCTTCTTTGCATCCATCAAGTTTGGGACTGTCTGTGCTTCCAGGACTTGCATGTCTATTTCCTTCACCAAATACAGGGAGTTCTCTTTCATTAGTTTTCCAGATAGATTTCCAATGTGTTGCTCTTCCTCTTCTCCTTCTGGCATTCCTATGATTCAGCTGTTGGCACATTTAAAGATATCCCAGTGGCTCCTTAGTCTGTCCTCCTTTTTTTTCTTTTCTTTTTCTTCTTCTTCTGATTGTATGTTTTTTTCTTCCTTAGGTTCCAAATCATTGAATTGATACGTGGCTTCATCCAGTCTATTGTTGTTTCCCTGTAAATTGTTCTTTATTTCAATTAATGTATCCTTTGTTTCTGATGGAATCTTTTTTTTGCTTTTGAGGTTCTCACTAAGTTCCTTGAGCATCCTTAGAGCCAGTGTTTTGAACTGTGCATCTGAGAGGTTGCTTATGTCCATTTTGTTTAGTTCTTTTTCTGGAGTTCTGATCTGTTCTTTCATTTGGGCCATGCTTCTGTGTCTCCTTTTTGGCAGCCTCCCTGTGTTTGTTTCTATGTATTAGGTGTAGCTGTTTTCTCTCCCTGTCTGGTGGCATGGTCTAATGTAGTAGATGTCCTGTAGGGTCCAGTGGCACAGCCTCCCCTTTTACCCAAGCTGGGTACTCAATGTACGCCCCTCATGTGGCTGAGTACTCCCTCCTCTTGTAGTTGAGCCTTGATTGCTGTTGACAGGTCAATGGAAAGGATTTACCCAGGCCAGTCAGCTGCAAGAACTGGCTATGACCACTGATCACCAACCTTCACCCTCCATGGATGATCAGCTGTGCAGGGGCACAGTGGTGGCAATCTGATATCCACTGGTTTTGCAGGCTCTGGGGTTTCCCGAGCAGTGGAGGCCAAGGTCAGCCCCTACCTGTGTTTTGCCTGGGGCCACTGCCTGGGTTATAAAGCAATCTGGGATGGCTGCTACTTGTGCTGGGCTTGGAGATTCCCAGGCAAAGCCAAGCTGTGAATCTAGTCTGGCTGCTGCTAGTACCCGGCTTGGGGACACTTAGAGTAAAGGTGACTGGAAGCTCACTGAGGCCAGCTGTTGTTTGTTTGAAAGGATTGAGGAAGTTGTGAAGCATGAGCCAAGGCCAGCTAGTCATATGGAAAAGTGTCTGTTGACAGCTGGGTGGGCCCTTAGGTTGGGTGGGATGGAGTCTCAGGGTATCATCAGGACAGGACAAACAGTGTTAGCCAGGTTGACAGAGTCTCTAATATGGCACATACCTGCCAACTGTGGCTCTGTTGTGGGGGAGGGCTCAGAAAAGGGACAAAAGGTGGGAGAAAGCTGTCCCCCAGCTCCTGCCTTGATGCCAGATACTTGCGTTTCTCCCTGTGTGCCACTGGTACCTTCCAAGCTGCTACCCTGATGCTGGAGCTCAGAGGGAGTGAGTCTTGAGTAAGTTCACATGTGGATTTTTTAAAGGGGGATGCTTAGGACTCCAGAAGTTTCTTCCACTGACTCAATCCTTGCTGTTCTTTGCAGCCAGAATTTGTGGGGACTTACCTTCCTGGCACTGAGATCCTGGGCTGGTGGGGGTCCTGGTGTGGGGCTGGGACTCTTTGCTTCCATGATATCCCTCCCAAAGTTTTGTTCACCACACGTAGTGTGAGACCAGCCTATCCTCATCTTCACTCCTACCAGTCTGGATGGATGGGGTTTCTTCAATTCTGCAATTGTCAGAACTCCATTCAACTTAATTTCTGACTGTTGAGTGATGGTTCTGTATTTTCGTTGTAATTTTGATGTGGTTGTGCAAGATGGCAATCTGTATTTACCTGTGCTGCCATCTTGACCGGAAGTCTAGCTTTACTTTTGATTACAACCAACTGTTTTGTGGTTTGGTGTTTTTGGAAGTGGAGAACATTTTCTGCCATTCAGTGGAATTTTTTTCAGCCCTTCTCTCATCTAAGAGTTGTTTATTAATTTTTTTTGCTTTATTCCTCAGCCTAACTCCTACTAATAATGTCTTTTTAAATTTTTTAAAAAATCTTCTATATCTGGAATAATCTCCACTTTTTTTTTCTGTTTGTGCCATTGGTCCTGGAATAGATCTTTATTTAGCTAACTAGCCTTCTCCTTCCTACCTCATATTCTTTGAAAAGAAGGATAGTCTTTCTTATAAAGATATCTAGCTTTTGCTTCATTTGCCTCTTCAGTTCTTTAACTAGTTCCTCTTGCTATTTTAAATTTATTTAAATTTCCATTTCATCTCAATATTCTAAATTTAGTTTATTTCCATCTGGAGACTTGATGGACATGTCTTTTTAACTAATGAATAAATAATACATTGCTTCACTCAAGAATGCAGCTTGCTTTTTAAGTCTTAATTCTCAACCTAAGAGTATCAGATCAAGGAATATTTACCACAAAATTGTCTTTCAGATCAATCCCAGAATTTACTTAATAGTATGGCTTGCTTTGTTTGTTTCTTTTTTGTTTGTTTGAGCAGTTAAAATTCCCTGTCAGTAATTTTATCAGACTGATCTCCAGATAGATATAAAAGATTTCTGCCAATATTGAAACCAAAAAAGAGAAAAAACGGGAGTGGGTGGGTGGTTGTGTTTGTGTGTGTGTGTGTGTGTGTGTGTTAAAGTCATTCTGTTAGTTCAAGAATGTGTCTTAGTTATAATAAAGTTATATTTAAATTATTGAGTATAATTAGATTTAAGACCTGAAAAATTGATGTTATTCTAGCTTTTCTTGATTCTGTTCCCCTACCAAGTCGGCAACATCTTTAATCCAACCAACTGGTACTTCTTTTTAAATTACCTTAACTGCATTTTCTTTTTTTAAGGTAAACTTTATACCAGTTGGCCTAGCTCTTCCTCTTTTTTACAGTTCCTTTGTTCAATGAATTAAAAACATCATGGACTCAAATACTAATCTGGGAATACAGCTCTCTGTAATATTTAAACACTTTATTTCCTAAATAAAATGAAGAAACCTTCATCACTCTTTCTTAATACATTAAATTTTATTCTCCAGAGGATGGCGGGGGAATACTTTAGAAACTATACCAGAAAAAAACATTTTAAAATAAAATTTTATCCTTTCCTGTACCTTTCCCAGTAAAGTTTTCTGCCTTAGGATGATCTTTTTTCACAATCGCAGGAAAGGCCTGTATATAATAAGACTCTCTTTAGAGAATGCAATACATAAACCTTACATTCTACAGAATTAAATTAAAAATTTGGCCATTAAACAGACATACAGAATTAATACATTAGGCTAAATCGTCATTTCTAGATTTAATTTTGAAGGAGAGTTGCGTGGTTTTTTCTTTTATAATCCCAAAGTTGTCATAAATGTGGAGAGTATATCTTCTCGAATAGTAATTATTTATATATTTCTGTTTCTCCACAGAATGATGACCGATCTAATGCTGTATCAAGTTCACCTACAACAGAAACAGGTAATCAACACAAAGGTGCAACTTATTGCATCAGGATTATAATTCTTTACCAGGATTTTCCTGATAAAGTAGTACTTTTTTTTTCAGTTACAGTTTATATGGAGCATTATTTTGTATTAGTTTCAGGTGTACTGCATAGTGGTTAGACAATGATATATTTACAAAGTAGTCCCTGCCCACAATATTTCAAGTACCCACCCAGCTGACAAATTTCCTCTTAGAAAACTATGCTTTCCTTTTCTGCGATGAGAAATAAGACACAAAATTGGGAACTTTCTTTACGTTTTCAGCCTTTTAATTCAGCTGGTTGTTCAACTATTCAGCAGTTCGATATGAACAAATGAGCATGAGCTCGCAGTGCTATAGGTTTGTTTGCAAGAGATTATATTCAATGTAATGACATTCATCCTGCCTTTGCTGATACTCCAAAAATAACATGGCAGTTAAAAATACAAGAAGTCTTCCTGCTATCAGGGTTACTTTCTGTACCAGATTTTGTATTAACAAAATTATCTTTTTATATCATTGCCATGTTTAATTTTATTTTTTATTTTCCATTTAGTGAACTTTGTGACTGACATGTGTCTGTTACATATTTAATGATTTTCCTTTCTTTCTGTGCCAATTTAGGTCATCATTTCCCTGCATATTCTTTTCCTGCTGCTCTCCAGAGAAACCAGACCCAGCGCCCTGAAAGCTTCCTTTTCCGATCAGCTGTCAGAGCCGAAACAAATAATAAAGGTGGGAGGCAGTGACTCAAAGCGGGGGGTCGGGGGATGGAGGCTTTATACAGTGACACTGTTACTGCGTTCACACTGCTACCCTGAGATGTCCGCTCGGCAAAAGCTTTAAACTCTGCATTTATCTGTAATCTCACTGACGCAGGAGACTCTTGTTTGAATTTGTTTTCATTAGAAAGTTTCTTTGTACCACCTAAAAGCAGGTTTTAGTATTTGAACAAATAAAATAATCTTTCAGGGCTTTAGAGAATGTTCATCTTCTCTGTAATGAACTCTGTTTCAGATTTTTCTGTTAATAAAAGCTGTTTTCTATGTTCTTAAAGAAATGAATCAGTAATTTTTAAATATCCACTTAGTCTCTCTCTCTTTTTTTTTAGTTAATATGATAAATTTCTTCCTGGTCCCAAAAGAAGTTGCCTGGAATTAAAAATATAGATTTCAAGTCCAAAATTCCTTTTAATGTAACTGATAGGTGCACTTGTAGTGAGATGTAAAATCAAACCCAGAGAACATACTGCTGATGGGATTGTAAATTAGCAGGGAAAACTATTTACATTATCTACTGATGTTGAATATTTGTATATGCTATGACTAGCAATTTTGCTTTCTGAAATATGTACACATATATACAAGATATGTACAAAAATATCCATAGTGACATTATTCATAATAGCCCCAAACTGAACGTCTATCAATGATAGAATGGATAAAAAAAAAATGTGGTATATTTATGGAATGTGATACCATATAAGCAATGAAAATGAACAAATTAATATACACAACATCGATAAATCTTATAAACATAATGTTGATCAAAAGAAGGCAGGCACAAAAGCATATGTACATAAAATGGTTTCATTTATAGAAAGGTCAAAAATGGACAACACTAACCTGGTACTGGAAGTCAGGAAGTACATAGTTAGAACCCGTGGCGTTAGAAGTAACCTTTATGTACTGATGGGTAGGGAGCTTGAGAGGAGCTTCTAGATGTCAGTAAAGTTGCATTTATTGACCTGGTCGTGCCCGCTTTGTGAGGATAATTTATTGTGCTTCTCCCTTATGATTTGTGTGTAATTTTCTATATGTATGTTATTTTTCAATAAAAACATTATGAAGTGAATGTCACCAAACAAAAGTGGTTGAGCCAAATTCATAGACATGTGTTGGGTTTTTTTTATACTATTCTCACTCTGATTTTGTATGTTTGAAAATTAGCGTAATTAAAACTTTATAAAAAGCATGAATAGGAGGTGCTATGCTTGCAAGGAAAGTGTGATCAGGTGGATCAGTATTTTTCTGACACTGGCAAATCGCCTTTCTGTCTTACACATTAATGTTTTTCAGGTCATACTTCACCCCTTCTTTCATCTTCTGCAACTACTACTGATCCTACAGATCCGATAACAAGACAGAATTCAAGGCAGAGAGAAGAAGAACTGGAATCGATAGATCAACTACGGAAAGTGTGTACATTGCCTTTAAAGTAGTTTGGGTTTTTTTAATTCAGTCTCTTTATTTTTTTAAAGATTTTTTTAATTTTATAGTTTTTTAAATTTATAAATCATGTTTATTCTATTACAGTTGTCTCTATTTTTTCCCCCTTTACCCCCCTCTACCCATCCTGGAAAGTGTGTACATTACCTTTAAATTAGTTTTATTTCTAAATATGAAAAATACTCATTTAAAAAATATTTTTTTGCCTCATGAATAGAATTCTTATAAGAGTAACAATAATTTATATGTATGTGTTCATATAGATATTGTACATCATATAGAGTGGGTATTTTTTCTATTTCGGAATTGAAAGAGAATCTAGGTTTGTTTTGTGTTTTAACAGAAAATCGTAAACAAATTTCTTTGTTGTGTTTTGCACCACTGTGGCATGATTGCCACACATATGTAATTGTTCTCCTTAACATATGGACTTAGATAAAATGATAAATTAGGGACTGTTAACTCGTTATTTGCATTTTATCTTGATTTCTAATTTAATATATTCCATTGTAACTCCATTATGTCCTATATGTCAGGCAGTCTTCACTTACGATATTACATGTTCTGTTCTTTCAGCATATTGAGTACCGGTTGAAAGTGTCTCTGCCTTGTGATCTTGGAGCAGCTCTAACTGATGGTGTTGTTCTTTGCCATTTGGCCAATCACGTGCGGCCTCGATCTGTCCCAAGTATTCATGTTCCCTCACCAGCTGTGGTAAGTCTATAATCTTAAAAAACATTGGCTTATTAAATACAATGGAGGCATCGTGCAAAACAGATTTGAATAGTGCATTCCCTGCCTTCCCTTTGCTTCTACTAGAGGGGGAAAAAAGCACATAAACAATGACTGATAGCAGTGTGATAGATGTTATAAGAGAAGTGTGTAAGAGGTGTGCTCTAGGAATACAAAAAAATGGACCACTTAATTCTGCCTGGAGAATTCAGGAAAGCCTTCCCAGAAGAAGTAAAATTGTAGGAATTCTGACATAGTATTCCTAAATTTGAAAGATAAGAAAGATCATGACACATTCAAGGAATTTTAAAGTTCTTCAGAATAGATCATATATAATGTGTTGGTGCAAATGGCAGGAGATATAGAGAGGTAAACCAAAGGCCAGCAACTATTTTTGTAAATAAAGATTTATCAGAACACAGTCGTACTTACGTGTTTATATATTATCGATATTGCTTTCAGGCTTTTAGCAGAATCAATTAATTGCAACAGATCATATGGCCCTCAAGACTATTTATTATCTGATCCTTTAAGAGAAAGTTTGCTGCCCTGGCCGGATGGCTCGGTTGGTTGGAGTGTCATCTTAGTGCACTAGGGTTGCAGGTTTGCTCTCCAGTCAGGGAACATAGGAGAAGCAACCAAGGAATGCATGAATGAGTAGACCAACAAATCAATATTTCTCTCTCTCTCTCCCCCTCCTCTTTTTCCCTTTCTCTCTCTCTAAACTCAATTTTTAAAAAACAGAAAAAGAGTAAGTTTGCCCATTCTGAGATATAGAACATTGAGTTTATAAAGCAATCAGAAAGAATATTTTTAAAGTAGCAAAAGTTTTAAAACTTTGCTAATAACACCACATTTTTCTTCCTTTGCAGCCTAAATTAACAATGGCAAAATGCAGGCGAAATGTGGAGAATTTCCTAGAAGCTTGCAGAAAAATCGGCGTACCTCAGGTAATAAATTTACCATTTTTTATGTTGCCTAAATAGACTTGGGTATTATTTTCAGATAAAAATAGACTTGGGTAAAATATTGCAGAAATGCAACATGATTTTGTGTTACTAGAGTTAATCAATATACTTTGGAGCAGTTTTTATCATTATTTGCAAGGACTAGGCAAAGAAACCATACACATATAAATTTAAATATATTGTAATAACTAATGCTAAGTAATCAAAAATAGTTATTCTGATATTTTCCCAAACATTCCCACTTGCTGTTTGACTTGTAATAATACATCTTTATATCCAATAGAGTCTATGCTTCAAAATAAGTGAATCTCAGATTGAGAATGCTTCAGTTGGTTTCAGGGTTTTTAACACTTGCTTTAATACTTTTTTTACATGTTTATTTTGAAATAATTTTAGACTTAGAAAAATGTTGCAAAAATATCACAGTGGCCCTGACTGGTGTGGCTTAGGGAAGGGTGTTGTCCCACAAATGAAAGGGTCGCCAGTTCGATTCCGGGTCAGGGCACGTGCCTGGACTGCAGGCCTGGTCCCCTGTTGCGGGAGTGCGGGAGGGGGCTCTTTGAAGTTTCTCTCCCTTTCTCTCTCCCTCGTTCCCCTGTCTCTAAAAATAAATAAATAAAATCTCTTAAAAGTGTATATCACAGAGAATTATTGTGTACACTTCATTCAGGTTCCTCTACTGTTAACACCTCCATAAATACAGTATGTTGTCCAAACTAACAAACACTGGGATGATACTGTTAGCCAAGTAACAGACTTTGCTCAGATTTCCCCAGTTTTTCCACCAAGCTCTAATACTTTAGAATTTATCTCCCAAGAGGCTATTTCTAGGCTCTTGTCCTGCTGTTGAGATTTGTTGCGTCCAGCTTCTTCAGTTACAGCTTCATTGCCCTTTAATAGTACAAAAAAAATTCAACATTATAAATGTGATTAAGGAACATGAACTTGATATACTTTTTATATCAAACCAACTAAGCATGGTACTTTTGCTACTCTTAAGAAATATTATATTTAATTAAATCAAATTTAAAGAAACAAACAACTTGGTGACATTGGATGCTTTTTTTCATTTATCACAACTGCTACGGTTCCTGTCATCATATTTTGTCCAACCTTCAGTAAGAAAAACATGAGTCTTCTGTCTCCTTCTTAGTTAGCTGTCAGAAACCCATACTGGCCCTGGACTCAGCAACTCCACTGTTTCTCTTGAAATTAATCCCCATCCTAATAGCTTTCACAACAGCGACGCCACTCTCTTTATCCACTTCGCCATTGCTGTCTCTTAACTAACCATGAGTCAAGGTCACAGCATCACATGTCCAATGAGTAGCTCTCACAGCTCTTTCACATACTGCAAAATGGAATAGAAAGTGCTCAGTCCATCGAGCATCTGCGTTAGTATGAATTCTCAAGGTTGCTTTTTTTCTCCTTTTACTAAATAGATCATGATTGTACTACTTATTTTTCACTTTTTCTTTTTGGTATTTTTTTTAACTGAATTATAAAAGAATTGAAATCTACATTTAGTGGTAGTTATCAAGAACCTTTATTGTGTCTATGAATAAATTCAAAAAATTTTTCTCATTTTTATATCATATAGTTTCCTAAAGGCTCATTGTCTCTATTAGAATAAACCATTTTTAAACATATAACCAGTAAAAGAGCATTAAGAAATTTTCTAAACAAATAGCATGCATTTTCTCCATATTAACAAGCAGGTTCCAATATTTATATGTACTCATTAACATTCAGTGCTTCCCTACTATCTACTGAAGCGGTTCTTAACCTGGCCATTATATTATGCAGGGAATGACAACTAGAAAAAAGGTATGAGTGATTAAAAAGAGTCACTGCATACACAGAAGAGTGCTAAAAACAGCCCCAAACAGCAAGATGTGTAGCAGAATTAGCCTGTGTCAAACCTGTTAAAAGTACTGTTTACCAGTGTTTACTGTCATGGCGCCTGTACTCTAGGCTTTACAGAACCATCATCAGTCCCAGATTTAGAGGCCATACACTGAAGCTCTTTCAGAATGTACCTACCATCAGTCAGCAAAAAACAGAGTTCCTTAAAGCATGCGTTTAATTCAGCATTTGCCAAGAAGTGGTTAACAGTATTTATTCTGGGCCCGCTGGCCTGTATTCCTGTCAGAGCTGTGCTATTGGAGGGCAGGAGAAAAAACAATAACTTTAAAAGACTGGGCGGGTCAGTGGGGATTCTTGACACGTCCTTCCTCCCCCTCCTCCTCCCCACCAAAAAGGGGAAATAGACATTCCACACAGGCCACCTCTTCTGCTCCTTCTGCCTTCCACACTTGTCTCTATAGACCGCCACTGCCACCGCCACTGCCACTGTCTGTAGGTGGGTTCCTGTTCTGCGGCTACTTCTGCTAAAAAAAAATTAGTCACTTGCTTTGAACAGAATGAAGGAAAATGAATAAATACATAAACTCATGGGTTCAAACTAGCATTCTCAGGTCCCTTTGCTACAGGAGGAAAGAGAAAACCTGTGCCTTCTCTTCTTCCTTTGTTCTCCGCTGCTCCTGAATATTCTAAATTACCTGAACATCACCACTCATTCTGACTTGTAAAGAAAATCAGGGATGTAAAAATGATCACTTTTGAAATGTATAATGTAAAATTTAATAGTGTAAATATTAATATCAGATTCTGTGTACAAAGGCAAGCAATTTCCCTTCTCAGTATAACTTTTAGAGTGTTTACAAGGCAAATAATGAATGAAATACAAAATAAGGTAACTTAAAAACCTTTGACGAGGTTGGACATATGTGTATTCTCTTTATTATCATGCTTTCATTAATATATGTTACATTAAAAAAACTAGTGGATGATAAAAATTTCTACATGAGGTCAGTATCTTGTGTCCTAAAATTATTATATGTTATGTGGTGAATATTTTCCTGTTATTAAGCCCAATAACATATTTCTTTAATTTCTTAATCTGTGAGCTGACGGGTTTAGATGATCTCTAGAGCCCCTTATGGCTGTAGATTCATTTTGTACATATTAATGAACTAGACTTGGTTAAGATGGGTTTGCCTTGATGTTTAGAGGAACACCAAATCATCCCGTACACCTTACATCCACTAGTGAATTTCCCTGATTATTAGGCTTTCCTTCTCTTTTGAGCCTTTTCCATTTATCTGGTTTTGAAAACTTCCCTCTCAGCCCGCCCCCAGGTCTTGTCCTTGCTTTCTGACTTATTCTTTTTTTATTAATAAGAAAGAATGTTCATAGCAGCACAATTTACAATAGCCAAGTGTTGGAAGTAGCCTAAATGCCCATCGGTAGATGAGTGGATCAGAAAATGATGGTACATTTACACAATGGAATACTACGCAGCAGAAAGAGAAAAAGAACTACTACACTTTGCGACAGCATGGATGGAACTCGAGAGCATTATGCTAAGCGAAATAAGCCAGGGGGTGAAAGACAAATACCATATGATCTGACCTATAAGCAGAACCTAACCAACAAAACAAAGATGCCAGGAAAATAAGACCAGCAACACTGAAAGGAAAAGAAAACCAACAGAGACAAGAGGGAAGGAAGGGGGAGTGATCAGGGGAAAAGGAAGGGAAGGGGCAAGTCAAGGAACATACAGCAAGGACTCGTGGACAAAGCCAAAGTGGGGAAAGATTGAGGGAGGGGGGAGGTGGAGACAAATGTATTTGGAAAAATAAATTAACTTAAAAAAAATGAAATTAAATTTTAATAAAAGGAAAAGGAAAAAAAATGAATGAAAGGTGAGAAAGAGGCTGTCCTGCCCCCGCAGACCTCAGCACCGCTCCCAGGCTTCGCCCAGCCCTCAGCCGGTGTCCAGCGCTATTCATTTCAGCCTGAATGTTCACACTAGTCACCAGCTAGTTTTTTTTTCAGCTATTTTATAGTAAAATCAAGCTCCACACAAAGAGATTTCTTTGTAATTTTGTTTTTCAGCATTTTATTTTCATTCATTATAGTAAAAAATGTTATGAGATATGTTTCTTTGAATATGATTGAGATGATCAAATTGAATTCTATGCTTAAATCTGTATTTCTGATCCACTGACTTTGTTTTTCTGTTTTCCTTTCCTGCTCACACTTTGGACAGGACAATCTTTGTTCCCCTTCTGACATCCTTCAGCTAAACCTCAGCGTTAAGAGAACTGTTGAAACACTACTTTCTCTTGGGGCACAATCAGAAGAATCCAGTTTTGTCTCTCTGTCTATGCAGCTTTTGGGTTTTGTGGCATTTTATTGTACTTTAATGTTGACTCTCTGTATGCTTTATTACTGGATCTTCCCCCTCTAGCAGCAAGATTGCATTCCAGTGGTTTTTCACCTCATTCCTATGTTTGGTAAAGGAGGTTTGTTTCTTTGTTCAGAAATATTCACACAGGTGCTTTTTCCTGGCCATCAAAGAGTGAACCGATAAAGTAGACTAATCCTTTCCTCATATGTCCAGGTGAGCAGCGACCACATTAGTTAGTGAGCGTTGATGAGGACTAGAAAAGAGCAAAAGCATTTTTCCCCTGGTCATTCGACTATTCTCCTGGCCTGTGGTCTTGTTTTTCGTTAAGTGCTGAAGTGTTTCTACTAATACAATCCTGAGCCCATTCTTAGAATATGACTAAGAACTTTATTTCCAAGTTACATAGTAAAGTTCCCATCTGGCCATTTTTCCATACCTGAACACAACTTAAGTGCTGAAATTGTAAGTTGCTGAACATTTTCAACAGCTGCTCATAAGGGGAATAGTTGTACCCTTTCTGGTTTAGGGGGCATGTGGTCACTTAAATCCTTGCATTGAACTGGGCCCTGAAATCTCCCTTTTGGCTCTTTGGCATCTGGAAGGCACCAGTCATTCAATTTTTAAATTTTTAAATTGATCAGAATTTTCAGTCCAGAGGTCAGATAGGTTCTCTAGATTGTTTTCTGAGCCTAATGTGTACGTTTTAGTACACAACAAGCAAATGATCTGGAACTGACTGCAGGGATCGGCACCTGTCCAGATTTACGATGCGTTTATCTTTAACTGAACTTCACTTCTAGAATCCTACTGAGAATTTAAAATTGGAATTTATGTAACTTCCAATACAGTTGGACCATCTTAATAGGTGAACTTGTATTTTATAGGTGTTGAGGAGAGTATATCAACAGTAGTAGTAGGTAAAGTATTAGGCAGCAGTGAATATTGTCGCTTTCGGAATGCTTATTAGTATATTAGCTGCTAGCCTTAATGCTTGAGACTACTTTATAATTGCAGATTCTAGTTCTCATAGTGTTTCTAAACATTCAGGAATCTCCCAAACTCTCTTAACAAAATGAGACAACTGATCACAAGTATGAAGGAGTATATAACATGCTGTTGTAGAAGTCAGCCTGAAGGTCTGATTGCTTCCATTTTCTTCCATGTTTAATGAGACAGTTACTTACCACATTAAAAAACTGTTTACTGTTAATGCCAAAACATTGAAAACTGTATTGAAAACTTTAGTTTTATACAGTAGTACTGCCTTTCAGATTTGATGGGGCTGTTTTAACATGTTTCTGAGTCAGAGATCATTCAGTTTTGTAGACTTTTGTTCCTTTAAAAAAAACCTCAAAAAATACATTGTTTCATGTGTGGTTCTGAGGGAGTGATTGTGCATTCTTTTCACATCATACAGGTTCCCTCTAAGCAGCTGAAGGCAACCGTGCGCCTGGAAAGCATGGCCTCTGCGGACGTGTCTCAGTCACGGGCCACACAGGCCGCAAAGGCGTTGCCAAGAACTAGGTCTCTCCCAAGAGCAAAGCACCCTGAAAGTTCATTTTAAGTGTAGTTAACCCATACTTGCAGTTATACTCAAAGTATTTATACATAGTTATAGTTTTGTAAGAGCAAAAGATTGCAGTTATCTTGTTTTATCAAATAAGTATTTTTTTAAAAAAAAGACAGAAGCATAAGGACCAATAACTGCTCACACAATAAATACTTGGTATATTTTTTTATTGCAACTGACTTTGTACATCTTCCTAATAATACAGTAACTGCCAATGAAAAGTTGAGAAAAATCCACTTATCTTATTTAACATGTACAGTGTTGTTTTTTAAATGAAACCACAATCCCACTTTGTCCTTTGTGAGAGCAATCTGTTTTCTTTCTGAATATTTCTTCTTAAAAGAAAAACCAGTGATAGGTGTCACTCTTAACACGTCTTTTTCTCTTACAAAAAGGATTAACCAAACAAATTAATGAGACAAACAAGATAGAATATTTAACTTCCTTAAGCAAACATGTAAATGGTTTTTAAATACATGGTAATTAAGTTATTCCTGAGTAAGCTCACATCATAATTCTCCAGTATAATTTATTCATTACATACCAGCAGGATATGAAATACTTTACTTTTTCAAATACAATTTTTTTTTTAATTTTATAATTCAGATTTTTAACTAATTCGAACTGGGCCTTCCATGAATTATCCAAAGTAGAGGAAAGTTTCTCAAATAGATCTAAATCTCAAGGAAACACTTCAGTTTCCTCCCATGATCCCTGACCGGTATGGGAGCTCTGAGTAGGACAGCTCTGCTTTTCACGGTCAAGAGAGTATAATGCACAAAGCAGGCCAACCTGTCTAGTGCAGTGTTGGGATGGCATGAAACAATCTTGTATTCCTAGGGTATGTAATTTCCAAAGTGCTTTCTCCTACCATGTTACATCTTTTCAGGCTTGAGCAATCTATCTGGAAATAATGTGTAACTTTTTCTATTTTCACCATATTGATCTGCATTGCTCTTTCATTTATTAGGGATGAAGAATGTTGCTTTCACTCCGTAGTATTATTTATCTTCTGTTGTATGTGTAAGTGTATATAACTTGTCCATTTTCCAGTTTTCAAAATGATCTGTATGTACTTTTGGTTATGTTAATAAAGTGATAGTGTGAGATACCATCTTTATGTAACTCGTATTAACAGAGGTCAGTTTCCCAGGTACTGACTTTTCATATCTCACTTGGTTATCATTATGTGGGGAAGAAGAGATGCTTATTTTTTCTTTTCAGTTCTGTGATGTTCATCCTATTTTCTCTTGTGTTTTTATGTCACGTTCTCCCATTTCAGGAGCAATTATGTTTGCCTCTCCACATTTTAGAAGAGAAAGGTTTGAGCCAGGTTGCAGTGACGGTCCAGGCTCTCCTGGAACTTGCCCCACCCAAACAGCAGCCGCCGCCGCCGCAGCACCAGCACCAGTTACCTGCTGTGTAAGGGCTGCCAGCACGCTGGGCACCGGCCTGGCCAAATGGAACAGGGCAACGTGATTGCTGCTGCCAGCCATCTGCCTAAAGGGACTGTTTCCATGTCTCCTAACAGGGATGTTTTGCTTCATTTCTCCATTTTAGGGGAGGTTATATCCATTTCCATTGACTTGTTTTGACAACATCATTTTTGCAAATAAAACTTAGTCCTGTCATTACCAAGAACCCAACACTGAAGCCTAAACGGGCAGTTCTTTCTAGGGGGTAAGTTTTTTTCACATACCAGAAGGATCTCACAGAAGGATATTTAGCTCTTTTGAAGGCACAGACATGCTATTTTCTTTATCTGTTTCCAAGACCAAGAGTCTACTGGTGTCTAAACTTGATTGTTCAATCGAATGTCCTGGAGCATTTGTTAATGTACAGGCTCTCATTCAGTAGGGTGCAGAGTGAGGCCTGGGTGTCTTCATTTTCCACAAACATTCCGGGTATTTCACGTAATGGAGACCACTGTCGCAAGCTAGATAGTTGTATGATTTGGGGGAGTAACGACTCCACTGTGTTTTTCAGACACATTTAAAATCAAAAACTATATTATGACTACATGGACGGTTCTGTCCAAAGCAAAACAAAAACAATGTAGAAGGTCTAGATTTTGCATAATAAAACAATGGAACAAATAGAGTTGTATTTAAGGCCAGTGTCCTAACGCCCTCTCCCCAACTCCAGCCTACCACACTTAGAGGAAGGTTCCAAATCCTCAAGCTAGTGAAATGCACTGCTCAGCATCATCTGCATGGACATCATTGAGCGCCCCCCACCCTCTTCCCCAATGCTGCTCCCAGGATACCTGGACCTGTCAGCACCTTCCAGTCAGAGCAGTACACACCCAGTTCCCCAACTAATGGAAGATTATGAAGACAAAGCAAAAAGAATAAAGGAAAAGCCAAGAGTCTTACATTTCTTTCAGGTAACTGCCGGTTCCCATGGCTGAAATAAAGTATTTGTGGCATCTTAAAAACAGCTTGCTGTCTTTCCATTTAGCCTCACCACTAGTGGTGGTGTTTACTCAATTGTGGGTGGAATAAAAGGGCCCAAGGTCTCCCGCAACACAAACACAAAGTCAGGAGCCTTGGGGGGTGGGGGGTGGGAGAGAGCACGGAGTTTAAGCCACTTAGATCTTTCTTCCCTTATATTTTGATCCCCTTTTAGTTGTCCTTGATGTGTTTTGGTATACACTGCCTTTATAAACCAAGTAGAGTTAGTGAAGATACTAGTTACCTAGATTTTTTTCTGTTAACTGTTCTGGGTTTTCTTTATCAATGCATGCATTTGAGCATAATGTTCTAGCTCTTTTTATCATGTAAATGCAGCATCTAAAAGTAACTTTGAATAAAATGTTGAGTATCTGGTTAAAATAATGTTTTCTCCTTGTTTGCACAAGGAAACAAGTTCATCAGAACATGACCACTTTGTCCAAATTTTAAATTATATAATAAAACATCTGCACTCGAAGCCCAATGCTTCAGGGTCCTCACAGAACAGAAAGAAAATATCGTTTTAAGGGCTTAGAGCCAGACCCATTATATTTACAGTTCCAAACACACCTGCCAGTTACAGACTTGACTAGAATTTACTGTGTGTATTTTTAAACTATAGGTTCCTTCTGGTCAACATTAAACCCCTCAGTACAGTCTCCGAATTATAGAGCACTATTTGAATGAAACTGAGCAAATAGGCAGGACTCTGTCACATATGCAAGGAATAATCCCAGAAGACACATAATGGAACATTCAAAACATTTTCAACTAATTTTCTTAGAGGAGTAAATGGAAATTTCAACTTACTTCATATTTTACACATAGCATGAAACCTTATTAATGTATTTTTATCAGTCTAATTCATATTTACTTTTGAATTGCCAGAAAAAATTTGTGTGCAGTTTTGGTTGATAATGAAAAGAAAATATCAAATATATTGAATTTCTTTTCTATGTCAAGATGCAAAAACAAATCATGATGGTTTTGTTGGAAATTTTTTTGTATTCAATGTTTGTATGTATTTTTGTTTTTGTTTTGGGTTTTTTTTCCACTTTCTTTAAAGCTTTATTGAGGTGTAATTTACATCACAAAAATCTGTTGCCTTTAGTAATGTGCAATTTTTTAAGTTGTACCTTTGTTTTTTTAACTGAAAAGAAAGTTTAACATTTAACCTTGTTAGACTCCAATGTAAGATGAAGATGACGTTGTAACAGTTCTACCTAACCATTTATTTAAGAGGTTCCTTAAATGAATCAAGCAGCAGCCCTCCCAGTGCTGAAGTACAAAGGAAGAAAAGTCTGTGTGCTCGCCCGCCAGGGCCCCTGCCAGCTATAGAGATTGTAAGGCCGCAGGTTTCTGAGCTTTCAAACTCACTACACTCCAAACCATTTCTCTCTGGAAACAGCTCATGGCGGGGGCGGGGGCGGGGGGGGGCTTTGTATTTAGCTAGAACAGAATAGTAAGTCACTTTCTTTAATAGCTTTTTTAAATACAGCCTTATGCCTAATCAAGGAGTCTGATTTCTCTTTACTTGCTCAGCAGTGACTAATGATGTATGACTATGTTGATGAGTGTGATGAATTTTTAAAACCTAAGTACTTAAATGGTTATAGAAATGAAGGAAAACATGGAACTTACAAGCATTTTTATATACATATTGCAGTGAGATAGTTTACAGCAGATTTCATTTTATTTCTGAAAATGTTGTAAACATGTAATTAGTAAATGATTTGTGAAATGTCCTATATTTGTATGTCTGTAAATATGATACATAAGTTGTAAGTATAAATATGTCAATATCATGTATGTTATTTTAAATCACCTTTTTGCAGCCTTACACTTGACATTAAAATAAAAGCCAACACTTCAATAGCATGAAACAAAGGCTGATTTGAAAATGTTACTTAAATGTTCATACTCAAAGCATGGTTTCCTTGGCAAAAATGAAAGAGTACCTAATTCCCCAAAGGAACATTAGATCAGTAGAAACTGAGTACTCATAATAAGCCTTTGATCAAAATGTACTTTTTAAAGGAAGAATAGATATCAATAGTGCCCTGTATTTGAAGTTAGATATAAGGCTTATTAGTCCATGAAATACATGGGACAGTTTTTGTCTCAGATACTACCAGTCGTGCCATTGGAAAAGCTTTAGCACCCCAAGACATTCTATTTTGATTAAGCAAAGCAAGAGCAACCCAGCAGGCTCATTCTTTGTTAGGGGAATAGGGAAAATAACCAACAATCAGCTTTTTGTTACAGACACAGGTTGGGTATTTTCAATGCTTTCTCTCTTGCAGTCTTAATGCCCCATAAGGCGAGAATTATTGAGGAAGCAAAGTAGGTATAGACCCTAGTTTCTCCCTTATCAACAATATTTCCAGCTCAGATGCTTGTGGTTCTGTGTATTGGGTGTTGTCTCACAAACTGAAGGGTCTCCAGTTTGATTCCTAGTCAGGGCACAGGCCTGGGTTGCGGACCAGGTCCCTGGTTGGGGACATGTGAGAAACACCCAATCAATGTTTCTTTCCCTCTCTTCCTCCCTCCCATCCCCCTCTCTAAAAATAAAGTAAAAAAAAAAAAAAATCTCCAAACTAGTCTTCCAGCAGAACTGTGTCCCCCATATTTACCATGTATGGGTTATCCTAAAATCTCATTTCTAGCTTGTATTTATAATTTATATTCCTACCTCCTAGAAAAGGAGCTAAAGCAGCTTCTAAGATATATATTCCATGCCACCACCAATTCCCAATAAAAACACTAAAACGATAAATCTAAGACAGGAAAGTACCAACCTTTAATAAAACTTCACTATATATGTATTATTATGCTGGATACTTTATAAATGTCATCTTGTAATTCCTACTGGACACTTCACTTTTGTTCACAAGAGTTTTTTCACCAAATCAGAATCAGAGACATATTGCAGGAATTACTGAAGTTTTAATGCATCACTATAACTAAGCCTATGAATTTTGGGGGTGGGGGGTGAGAAAGAGCAAGAGAAATCTTCACAAGGCTCCTAGAAATACTACTTACCAGCAAATTTTTTTTCAAAATATGAAGAAGCCCTTAATCATATAATCCTAATTTGGGGTCTGAAAATTAACATAATGGGCAAAGGGAAATAACAAGGCTGCACCTGGAAATGTCCAAATAAGAAACAACCTATAGATAAGTTATCTGGTGGTAAAAGATGTTTCCTCTTCCATTCAAGTCCTTCCCAGGTCCAGAACATCAGAGGAAAAGACAGAAGACAGTTCATCACTGTATCTTGCCTCTCCGCTTGCCTGTGCCTCTGCCTTTACCTTTTGAATCCTTGCTATCATCTCTGTCCTTCTTAGGCATATTGAAACCACCAATTTCATTCCGCACTACAGTGCCTCGCCACCAGGCCTGGAGCTGGAAAAGAAAGGGGGAGTGAATACAATTTATAGCGTGCCTGAGAAGCTGCATTTTTTGTACATAAGGGGATTGGTTTTTGATAAAGTAACTTCCTTCCAAAGAATAGACAGACATGGGAGGGGTATGCTCTCCCTGCAGTAATGTTCGGCAACTGTGCAGGACTTAAGCCATGGACTCTAAAGTTTTCAAGAAATATAAAAAGTCTTTCTTTTACACTTGGAAACCTCACTCCCTTGTACTACTGCTCTTTATGAACATCGTTTCCCATATCTAATAACCATTTGATCCAAAAGGGGTGTTAGTTACCTGGGCCACAGGCAAAAGCAAGCATTCAGTCAAAAGTATGCAGCTAATCTAGATTACTTCAACAGACTTCCTGGTGCATTTCATATCTTTAATGATTGATTAAAGGATCAATACTCTTATTTTCAAAAAGCAAACTTTAGATAGCTACCTTGAATATCTTAGTCATTAGACACAACTGTTTTGAATACAGTCTGGGCTACTTTAAAATCACATTAAGTCCCAAAGACTGGAAGCAAATCCACCAGTGAAAAGAAAAGAAGGGTGGTCTTCAGCTAGTTCTTAGATTTTTGCCCTCAGCTGAGGAATCCTGGCAAATACAAAACACCAGAGGAGTTTCATAAATACTTGCTCACTGTTTATCTGACTCTCCTAATGGAAAGTTCAAGTTGGATCTGGATATCTGGTCCTGAATGTACTTTAAAGCTTACTTTCTTAATCCACTCCCTAATATGCATCCCAAACCAAACTAGTTTGCATACTATTCGGTCTCAGCAGATACTCATCTTTCAGAGATGAGGGCAATCCTCAAAACAACAGTAACAACAGTTTCTGTTTAGTTGATGTTATTTTTGCTTGATAGTTCCTAGAATCTGACCTGCCAGGTAAATAATCACTAATATATAGAAGTTAATATGCAACTAAAATATCTCTATTTTCTAAACTTATCCCTTCTACTTTTCTTCTTTTCAAATGGCTCTTATCAGAATCCTGCACAGATAGCCGGGGTTAACTCTAAGTAGGATTTTCCAAAGCAGTTGGATATTAGAACTCTTTCAAGAGCTATTTTGGTTAGATAGAGTATCCTTAAATTTGTCCTCTGAGCACAAACTCTAGGTTTTGCTTCCACTGCTAGCCATCTCCTTTTCCCTGGATTAAGAGCTGGGAGTGTGTCTTTTTCTGTTAACTGTCTCCCTGCACCACTGGACTGTGCTGGCAAATTCCAATAATGACAAAGGGCATGTTTCCTCACAGATCTCCTGTTTTTGGTAATCAATGAGAGGTACTTTGCATTCTTCAGTGTTACGCCAGCTATAGAATTAAAGGATCCTAAGAGGCCAATTATGGCTTTCTACCTTTATGGCGCTCTTTAATTCCAAGAAAGCCTGTTCTACATTCTTCCTGTTCTTCTCCTTTTCTATACGATCTTCAATGATGACCTGTTCATACTCCCTTATCTGCAAAAGTAGACATTAATCATGTTACAGGACTCTCTTGGCTAAACTGTGACCAGCCAGCCCGGCGATTTTAATAGACATTTTAAAATAAAGCATGCCAAATCTAAAGATAAACCAAAGGAAAAAAACTTACTGGATTTTTATATTAAAAATATTCCTTCATTAACTTTGGAATTGTTCCCAAGTTTGTTTCTGTTTAAATAATTCAAATTTGCTTTAAAATATTTCATAAAGCCCTGAGTGGTGTGGCTCAGCTGGTCGGGTGTCACTCCGCAAAGCAAAAAGTGTCCCCCATTTGATTTCAGGGCATGTGCTTGGGTTGCAGGTTCCATCCCCAGTCAAGGCGCATGTGAGAAGCAATCAGTGGTTCTCTCTCACATCTATGTTTCCCTCTTTTTCTCCATCCCCTCCCTCTCTCTAAAAATAAATAAAATCTTTAAAATATTTCATTGGAAAATATTAATGATGTGATTAATGACCTCAAAATAATGTAATTTTTTTAAAAAGCTGTGATGGAATGTACACATCAAATTGTAACCATCTTTTAAAAGAGAAATTTGAGAAGTTCTGCTTTCAATAATAAAGCCATAATCAGAAGCATTTGGGAAACCATAATTTACTAATTGTCTTCAGAGATCATAAAGTAGGAATAATATCTATCTCAAGAGGTTGCTGTGAAGGTTGAAGAAGCTGTATATGTGAAATATTAATTAATGCTTGGACAGAGTAAGCACTGCCTAAGAGTTAACTACTGTTTGTATTGCCCCCACCAGCAATGGTGTCGTCACTGTTATTGTCAGCATCATGATCCTCCAAATAGAATCCCATTGGTTTACAGGCAAACCTCCACTCTGTGACCAAAAATAGCATTACCCAGCTACTTTAGCTTAGCTTCTACCCACTCCTCAGTGCTGAGCCTTATACTATTGAAACTCTGCTTCCTTACCATCTTTGCAAGGTCTTGAAGGCGTGCTAAGTCACTGGCCTTAGCAGATTTGAGAGCATTCAGTTCATTCTGTTTCATTTCTGTGTCCTTATCGAATTTCTCCATCCAGAACTCTAGCTTCTCCTCAAGTTTCTATTTGGAAAGAATATTAAAACATAGCTTCTCTCAGACACAAAACAGTAAATGCCATGTAAAATCATTTATATAAAGTTCAAGAACAAGCAAGACTTTCATGCAGTGATAGCAGTCAGAATCGTGGTTACTTCTGGAGGGAGGGTTAGTTTATTGCTAGTGATGGGGCATGAGGGAGACTTCTGGTTGCTATAGATGTTCTCTATATCTCTATCTGGGTGCTGGTTACAGCAGCATATATACATAAATATTCATTAAACTATATACTTAATATTTGTGCATTTTATTACTCGATTTAAAAATGGGGAAGAGAGTCTTTTCTGGATAAGAGAAGTTGCAATGAAGAGGAAAGGAATAGAGTCAGTAGAACATTCTTGAAGGATAAGGAACGGCACCAGACAGCTCTTTGATTGATAACACTAAATACTAGTTGAGAAGGGTACAATGTCTTCAAAACTCTAAAAGGTAATAAATGTGAATCTAAGATTCTGTACCTAGCCAACCTAGATTTGAATGTGAGGGAAAGAATATACCTAGTCTTCCTGGAATAGTGACTCAAGAATGTACCTTAGCAAAATAAAATGAACAGTAAGTGTATAATAAATGGGAGAGAAAACCAAAATGTATACTTAAGCTGTTTAATATACTTTTTAATAATAAATCAGAATTTGGAATTAAAATCTCCAGTTGGGCAGTAGAGTCTAATGGAGAGAGCAGAAACAAGGTCTGAAGTTAGATTGCCCAGTTTCGGCTCCCAACTGTGACACTCCAATAAGTTCACTTAAATTCTCTAAGCCTCAGTACCCTCATCTATAAAATGGAAGTATATAATGAATGGTTTCAATAGGAGATACAGGAGAGGAAGAGAAGTTAGTGAAAGTCTCCCCTAATGCAAGAAGATATTAACTCTAGGCTTAAGAGAAAGAATCAAGTATAAATGTGTATGTTAAAAATGTAAGAGTCACCATTGCAAGAATAGAATGTATAACTTCCAAACTCCTAGACTGTGTGCCTCTACCAAGCCCTGGCTGGTGTGGCTCAGTGGATTGAGTACCCGCCTGCAAACCAAAGGGTTGCTTGTTTGATTCCCAGTCAGGGCACATGCCTGAGTTGCAGGCCAGGTCTCCAGTTGGGGGCATATGAGAGGCAACTGCACATTGATATTTCTCTCTCTTTCTCTTTCTCCCTCTCTTTTCCTCTCTCTAAAAAATAAATAAAATCTTAAAAAAAAAAAAGAATGGGACATCAAGAGGAGGTTTTAGGTGGTATATAGACATGGAATTGTTTTAAAACATGATTCACATCAGGCATTCTGATTCAGTTAGAACATGTCCGTTTGACTATAGCTGGCTAAAATGTATAACATAATTTGTTATTTATCATACTTCTGCTTACATTAAATTCTATAGTAAATTATATCGGTTTCTTTTTACATAATTATATAAAAACCTTAATTGAAAATAAATATAGTTGTTTAGGTAGAAAGTAGTAATAGCACAGGTGGTATGCAGATACTACAAAATTGAAAATAGTACGCAAATAATGAGTTTGTACTAAAGAGCTAGAAATCAAGCAAGAAAAATCCCATCAATTCAACACAAGGAGGAAAGAAACAACTAGAAAGTTGAAGAGGAGAAAACAAAATAAGATGGAAATACTAAGTACAAATGAAAATCACAATGAAAAAGAAATAGAAATAAATTCCCTTATCAAAAGAGCCTCTCAGATTTTTAAATCTAGCTATGCACAATTTGTAAAAAATCACAGCTAAAACAATATAATCAAAGCAAAAATAAAGCAGGTTTGGCAATTAATATCCACAAAATAGAAGTCCAAAAATAATTAAATGAGACAAAGGGATATTTTATACTTATAAAAGACATGCCCTACTAACATATGGCAGTGCCCTGGCCAGTGTAGCTCACATGCTTGCAGCATCGTCCCTAAAACAGAAAGGTCACAGATTTGACTCCCACTCAGGGCACATGCTTGGGTTTCAGGTTAGGCTCCTGGTTGGGGCACTACAAGAGGTCCCTGGTCCGGGCTCGTAATAGAGGCAACCGATCAGATGTTTCTCTCTCCCATCGACGTTTACCCCTCTGTCTTCCTCCCTTCCCTCCTCTCTAAAAAAATCAATAACCATGTCGTCAGGTGAGAATTAAAAAAATAAAAAGATTTGGCAGTTACAAACTTCTATTTTCTAATAACATTTTTCAGTATATAAAACAAAAAATATTAGAAATATAAGAAATCGACAGATCCACAATCATCTTAGGAGACTATCACACATCTATGAAATTAAGAGGAAAGGTAGACCAAAATAAATACCAATAGGAAGAATTGACAGGTAGTCCTGACAGGTGTGGCTCAGTTGGATGGGCATTGTCCCATGAGGCAAAAAGGTCACTGGTTTGATTCCCAGTCAATGTTATATGCCTGGGCTGCAGGTTTGGTCCTCAATGAGGGCGCGTGCAAGAGACAACTGATTGGCGTTTCTTTCTCCCTCGTCCCCTCCCCCTCTCTCTAAAAATAAATAAAATCTTTTTAAAAAATTTGACAGCTAGACTAATAGATATTTACACAATTTTGTACCTAGAAGAGAATACACTGTCTTTTTGAATACCCATGGAATATTTATATAACCTGAGCATATATTAAGCCCAAATACTAAAAAGCTTCTGCATAGCAAAGGAACCTATCAACGGAAGAGGAGATTATTTGCAAATAATGCTTCTAATAAGGAGTTAATATCCAAAATATTTAAAGGGGTTAATATTCAAACTATATTTAAAAACTCATACAACTCAACAATGAAAATACAATCCAATTTAAAAATGTGCAGATGACCCCAATACACTTTTTTCCAAGGAAGACACACAAATGGCCAAGAGACATATGAAAAAACGTTCAGCATCACTAATCATCAGGAAAATGCAAATCAGTACCAATGTCCAACTGCATGCAAGAACAGTCTAGAGAGACTATGACAGCTCAAGTCACCATAAAACCTGCCGTGGCCATTCGCCTTTCCAATAATAAAAAATAATTTTTTTAAAAACCCACAATGTAATATCTCCTCATAACTATGAGAATGGCTATTATCAAAATGCATGTAATAAGTGTTGGAGAGGATATGGAAAAAAAACACCCTTGTATGAAAAAAAAAACAACCCATTGTTAGTGGGATTCTAAGTTGGTGTACCACTATGGAAAACAGGGTGAAGGTTCTTTTATTTATTTTTATTTTTAATTATATTTTATTGATTATGCTATTACAGTTGTCCCAATTTGTCCCCCTATATCCCTCCCGACCAAGCATTCCCATTCATTCAGGCAATCCCCACACCCCTCCCATCTGGAAACCATCTGGTAACTAACTTATTTTCTCTTGCTTTTAAGAGTCTCCCTTTAAATCTAACCTTTGGCCTTTTAATAATGATAAGTCTTGGAGTGGGCCTCTTTGCATCCATCTTGTTTGGGACTCTCTGTGCTTCCTAGACATGCATGTCTATTTCCTTCACCAAATTCAGGAAGTTTTCTTTCATTATTTTTTCAAACAGATTTCCAGTTTCTTGCTCTTTTTCTCTTCTCCTTCTGGCACCCCTATGAGGCAAATGTTGGAATACTTGAAGTTGTCCCAGAGGCTGCTTAAACTATCCTTGTTTTGGGGGGCTCTTATTTCTTCTCATTGTTCTGATTGGCTGCTTTTTGCTTCCTTATGTTCTAAATCATAGATGTGATTCTTGGCTTCATCCACTCTACTTCTGATTCCCTGTAAATCATGCTTTATTATGGTTAGTGCAGTCTTCATTTCTGACTGGATCTCTATTATGCTCTTAAGATTCTCACTAAGCTCCCTGAGCATCTTTATAACCAGTGTTTTGAACACTGCTAGATTACTTATCTTCATTTTGTTTAGTTCTTTTTTTTTTTTTTTAGTTGTTTTCTTTCATTTGTCCCATGTTTCTTTTTCTCATTTTGGCAGCCTCCCTGTTTGTTTCTATGTTTTAGGTAGAGCTACTATGACTCCCTGCCTTGATAGCATGGCCTAATGCAGTAGATGTCCTGTCGGGCCCAGTGACACAGCCCTCCCCGCCACCACCACCCAAGCTGGGTACTCAAGATGCACCCTCCATGCAGGCTGAGTACACCTTCCTCTTGTAGTTGAGCCTTGATTGCTCTTGCAGGCCATGTAGCCAGAGATACAAGGGCTGGTGGTTCACTGAGGTCAGCTGTTGCTTACTTGAGAGGACTTAGGAAATTGTGAAGCATGAGCTAAGACTTACCATTCATATGGGAAAGCCACTGTTAACAGCTCGGTTGTACACAAAATCAGGGGTGGAACCTCAGGGAATCCCTAGGGCGGGCCAAACAGTGTTGACCAGGTTGATGGAGTCTCAGATATGGCATCTGCCTACTGGCTCTGTGGTTCTGTGTGGGGAAGGTTCAGAAAAGGAACAATGACCTCTGCCTGCCTCTCAGTCTCGGAGAAAGCTGTCCCCAGGTCCTGCTCTGATGTCAGACACTTCAGTTCCTCCCCATATGCCACTGGTGCTTTCCAAGCTGCTACCTCAGTGCTGGATCAGAGGGAGTGAGTCTGAGTAAGACCACGTGTGGGTTCTTTAAGGGAACTGCTTGGGAATCTAAAAATTTCTTCCAACAACGCAATCCCTGCTGCATTTTGCAGCCAGGAGTTATGGGGACTTATTTTCCAGGTTTTCCAAACTGGAACCCTGGTTTGGGGGGCTTGATGTGGGGCTGCAACTCTTCATTCCCAATATATCCCTCCCAAATTTTTATCCACCACATGTGGATGTGGGACCAGCCCGTTTTGCATCTAAACTCCTCCTACCATTCTGGATGGATGTGGTTTCTTTAATTCTGTAATTGTCAGATTTCCATTCATTTTGATTTCTGATAGTTCTGAGTGATGGCTGTTCTACAGTTTAGTTGTAATTTTGATGTGTTTGTTTGAGGTTATGTGTGTTTGCCTAGACTGTCGTCTTGGAGATCCAGCTCTTAATATAACTCTTTATTAATTTCAATTTGGAGAAATTTCTCACCGTGGCAGTAGCATCCAAGGTTCCATAGCTGGTAGATTGTGGCACTAAGAATTAAACATCTGTAGTCCACTTCCAGGTTCCAGGCAGTTAGAAATAAGCAGGGCAAGAACAATGGGCCAGGTACAGAAGGCCAGCAAGGCAGAGAGCTCAAGGTGCCTAGCAATGGGCAAAACTGGGGAAACAAGGACCTCACCCCCAGGGTAATCTTTCTTCCCATCAGTTCCTTTAAAAATTAAGAATTGAACAAACATACAACGTAATAATTCCTGTTCTGGATATTTATCTAAAGAATATGAAAACACTAATTCAAAAAGATACATGATGCACACCTATGTTCACTGCAGCATTATTTACAATAGCCAAGATATGGAAGCAACCTAAATATTCATCAACAGATGAGAGGATAAAGAAGATGTAGTACATATGTACAATGAAATATTACTTGGCCATAAAAAAGATGAAATACTGCCATTTGCACCAACATGGATGGATTTCGAGAGTATTATACTAAGTGAAATAAGACAGAAAGTACAAAAGCCATATGATTTCACTCATACATAGAATATAAAACAAAAAGTAACAAACTAGCAAAACAAAACAAAAACTACATACAGAGAGCAGGATGGTGGTTATGAGAGGAGAAGGGGCTGGGGGGAGGTGAAATGGGTAAAGGGTGTCAAATACAAGGTAATGGAAGGAAACTGGACTTTTGGTATGAGAAAACAATAGTGTACAGATACTGAAATATAAAGTTGTACACCTGAAATTTATATAGTGTTATTAACCAATGTTACCTCAATGTTTTTATATTTGTATTTCTATAATTTTTTTAGACTTTATTTATTTTTTAGAGAGAGATGAAGGAAAGGATAGAGAGGGGGGAGAGAAACATTGATGTGTGAGACTAGCACACCCCCTCCTTGGGAACCCAGCCTACCATCCAGGCATGTGCCCTGACCAGGACATGAACTGACAACCTTTCAGTTCAAAGGCAAGTGCTTAACCCACTGAGACACACTAGCCAGAGCTTATCTGAATTTTTTAAAAGCCCAAATAAGAGCTCAACAAATCCCAATGAGCATAAATCTTACATTTCACAACCTGAGACCACAGTGGAAGACAGCAATGGTATAAACCTCAGAAGGTGGTTGTGAGGTTCACAGCAGAAACATCCAAGGGTTATTATGAGCAATAGCCTCCCACTCCAACTGTAATTATGGACAACATAAGAAACACCCTTTTAAATAACTCTTGGGTTAAAATGGAAGTCACTTACAAACTACATGCTACAATGCCTACAATTTACTGTTAAAGGCATGAAAAAGATGAAGGATTAATGGAGGACGAACATATAGGTATGTGATAAAAGCAAAAATAATAAAATGTTAATGGTAGAATCTACAACTAGGTGGTGGATATATGAGTGTTCACTGTAAAATTCTTTCAACTTTATATATTTAGAAACACTCATAATAAAATTCTGGAGGAAAACAAATAAATTACAAGCTATTTGTAAAGGAAAGACAGTATAACATTATGTAGCAAAACCTGTAGATTACAGGCAAATGACTTAGAAAATGTTGGTTTACATACATTTGCTAGAAAATGATAAAATTTGAAAATAAATGAATTGAGCATTTATGAAACTAGACAAAGATTTGCAACATAAGCTCAAAGAAGATACGAGAAAATAATTACTCAAAATTAAATTAAAAACATTGTACTTCCAGTCAAGATGATGGCACAGGCAGACATGGCTCGCCTCTTTGCACAACCACATCAAAATTACAACCATCACTCAGTATCATCAGAAATTCAGTTGAATGGAGTCTGACAACTACGGAATTAAAGACATCACATCCATCCAGACTGGTAGGAGGGGTGCAGATGTGAAACGGGCTGGTCCCACATCCACATGTGCTGGACATAATTTGAGAGGGCTATCTCGGGAGCGAGGAGTCCCAGCCCCGCACCAGGCCCCACCAGCCCAGGGTTCCAGTGTCAGAAAGATAAGTCCCCACAATCTCTGGCTGCAAAAACCAGTGGAGATTGAGTGGGTGGAAGAAACTGTTGGAGCCCCAAGCAGTTCCTCTTAAAGAACCCACACATGGACTCACCTACTCAGACTCACTCCCTCTGAGCTCCAGCACCAGGGTGGCAGCTTGAAAGGCACCAGTGGCGTATGGGGAAGAATTGAACTACCTGGCATCAAGGTGAGCAGAGACCATTGTCCCTTTTCTGGCCCCTCCCCCAACAGAGCCATAGAGCTGGCAAGCTGGTGCCATATTTGAGACTCCATCAACCTGGCTAACACTGCTTGACCTGCCTATGAGATCTCCAAAGCCTCCACCCGACTCAACTTACAGGCCCACCCAAGCTGCTTTTCCAGATAAATGTCTGACCTTGGCTCATGCTGCACAGCTTCCTAAATCCTCTCAAATAAGCAACAGCTGGCCTCAGGGAGCCCTGAACCCAGCACTAGCATCGGTCAGCCTAGATTCACAAGTTGGCTTTGCTTGGGAATCTGCAAGCCCAGCACGAGTAAGGCCCCAGCCCTGGCACAAGCAGCAGCCAGCCTGGATTCACAGCTAGTCTTCACCTGGGAACCCGTACGCCCAGCACAAATAGCAGCCATCTCAGGTTGCTCTATAGCTCATGCATGGTGGCCCTGGGTAAAACACAGGTGGTGGCTGACCCTGGCCTGCACCACCAAGGAAACCCCAGGGCCAGCATACACAGTGGACGGCTACAGACCCTACTGGAGCACCACCACCCTGCCCCTGCACAGCTGATCCTCCACAAAAGATGAAAGTTGATGGCAATTGGTCATAGACAATCCTTGCAGCTGACTGGCATGGGTAAATCTTTCCCATTGACCTGCAAAAAGCAACCAAGGCTCAACTACAAGAAAAGGGGGTACTCAGCCCACATGAAGCTCACACCTCGAGTACGCAGTTTGGATGATAGGGGAGGCT